GGCCGGACGCGTGCCTCCTGCCCTGGGCCATGCTGCTCCCGAGATTCCCGAATCCCAGCCAACGCTCTCAGCTCATCCAGCGGCGCTTCCCAGCGTCCCGGCCGATCCCAGCATCCCCGTGCGCGTCCCCCCCTCCCGGGGCTCTGCCGGGCGGCACAGAGGGGGAAAAGCCCTTTTCTGGGCGAGGATGCTCCGAGGCAGGGATACAGAGGATTCCGGCTCTGCCGATGGAGCCCCTCTGCGCCAGTGCCGCTCCAGAGCTGTCACGGCGCCGGCGGCTCGCTGGGTCCTAACGCTCCCCGCAGGAGCGGCAGCGGCACGGCCGGGGCACGGCTCGGCTCCCCGAGCCTCCTCCCGCTGGGGGCACCGCGCAGGGACCCCCCGAATTCCCCCGGCCGTCACCGCCGCGTCCTGCCCGCACACAGTCAAGGCTTGTCCCCCCCCCCAGCCATGTCCTGCTCTTCCCTCCACGGCAGAATGTGAGGAAAAACAGCCCCCCGGAGCAGGGTCTGTGCCAACCTCCCCCCAGGTACAGGTGAGCGGAGCCCAAGGGGTTAATTAGGGGCGTTGTTAACAATCACTAAGTGTCCTGTTTGTCTGAGCTGACAGATCCCAAATTAACGCCCCTGGCACTGATCGGGATAACGGGGCTTCGGGAGCCACCAGGACCGGGCACAGCCTGACACTCCATCCCGGGATCCTGTGTCCCGTGTGTCCCCCCAGCACCCAACACACGGAACCACCCCAAATCGCAGAGCCAGGGAACATCCTCAGTCGGAAAGGTCTCCCAAGGACCATCCAGTTCAACTCCTGGCCCTGCCCAGGACACCCCAACAATCCCCCCCTGTGCCCCAGAGGATCATCCCAACCCTCCTGGAGCTCTGGCAGCCTTGGGGCTGTGCCCACTGCCCTGGGGAGCCTGGGCAGTGCCAACCACCCTCTGGGGGAAGAACCTTCTGCTGAGATCCAACCTGAACCTGCCCTGGCACAGCTCCAGCCATTCCCTGGGGGCTGTCCCTGGTCCCCCAGAGCAGAGGTCGGAGCTGCCCCTTGTGTTTCCTCTCAGCCTCCTCCAGGCTGGATGAGTGACCCAGCACTGGCACCTGAGCTGGAACGTGGTGCCAGGAGAACAGTGAGGAAACCATGGGTGTGCCCCAAAAAAGCAGACATGGCACCAAGTGTGGCACACTCAGGGAGAAGAAGGCCAGGATGAAGCTGTGGCCATCGAGAACACAGCAATGGTATTGAAGGGAACGAGCTGTAACAACACCCCACTGGCATAAACACCACCAAACCCAGCTGGAAAATGGGGATTTCTCACTGGAACCACCAAGAACTCAAGCAGAACCACTCCAGAGACCTGTTGGTCACCGGAGCTCCAGCTGCTCCCCCTCTCCATGCTGGTTTAAGGGAAACGTCACACACACAAAATCCAACCAAAGTCTCCAAAAAGCTACAAAGAGGACAAGCTCCTTCCCTTTCCCCTCAGCTCCAGGGGCAACCACGACATTCAGTGCCAAAGTCTGCACTGTCCAAACAAAAAGCAAGGGAAACACCCCCAAACCAGCTGAACACCCAGTACCAATGGGGACTGGGAGCAGGGGGTGTCCTGGGCCTGTGGCAGCCAAACCCAATGGCTGTGGGACAGAGACCCCAAAATAAACACCCCCTTCTCTCAGGCTCCCCCTCATGCCTCTCCCAGGCCCAGCACATGCTGGGGGTCCCTGGAAGTGTCCAAGGCCAGGCTGGACGGGGCTTGGAGCAACCTGGGCTAGTGGAAGATGTCCCTGCCCATGGCAGGGTTGGAATAATTGGGATTCAAGGTCTCTTCCCAACCAAAGCATTCCATGATTCCATGGTAAGGTATTAAGCCCAAATTTTTCCCTTTTAGAAAACCTGAGTGATTTTATCCCCAGAGGGAAGAACCTCCTCTGGCACTGGAAGCTGCCAGTGCTTCACTGGGAATCTGGGAGGAAATATCACCTCTGTCACCTGTTCATAGATTCATGGAATGGTTTGGGTGGGAAGGGACCTTAGAGCCCATCCAGTCCACCCCTGCCACAGGAAGGGACACCTTCCACTAGTCCAGGTTGCTCCAAGCCCCGTCCAGCCTGGCTTGGGACACTTCCCAGGGATCCAGGGGCAGCCACAGCTCCTCCGGGCACCCTGTCCTCCCAGGGAGGAATTTCTTCCTAATTTCTAAACTCTAATGGATTTCTGCTGTTCCTCTCCCCTGCAGCCAGCCCCAGATCCAGGGAGCAGCCTGGACTGGGACACAGCCCTGGGCCTCGTGCACAAACATTTGGAGGGTGCTCACCCCATGGCAGTTGTGTCCCTAGGAGAGGCTGGAATGCCAAGAGGGAACTCAAAGAGACCCTCCTCCAAGTGCAAGAAAAACACGGAAAGAGCCACAGAATGTCCTGAGGAATTCAGCCAGGGGGGAAGGGTGAGTGCTTCTGCAGCTCCAGGAACGGGCTGGGGGCTGGAATACCACTCCCCCAGAGGATGGGAACTCACCACTGCTCTTCCCCACAGCCTTGCACCACAAGGCCACACACTTCTCAACATTCCCTGTGCACTGGGAATTCCTAAAACCACACTACATTGGGTATAAACACCAAAAAAAACAAGAGCCTTTGGAAATAAGTCATGGAAATGACATTAAATCCCTGTTTGTGATGGATATCCCATTGGCACCATCAGGGAGATCCCACTGCTCAACACAACGAAGTCACAAGCACCACTCACCATCTCCTGGTTTATTTGCTGCCTGGATTGTGCATGGACATGAACCCTTGGGGAAGGAACCCCGGAATGCCCTGAGCTGGAAGGGACCCACAGGGACCCTGAGCCCAGGCCCAGAAGCCAGGGTGGGACAGGAGCTTTACCAGTGCTGGAATCACAGGGACAGGGGAAGTTTTGGGAATTATTAATGCACTGTGAGATGCTCCAGAGCACTCCAGGCACACCCCAACCCCCAGGGGCTTTGGCTGCTCCAGCCTTGGCACAGCCTGCAGATCTGGGCCCACACCTGCTCTGTGCAGACGGAAACAATTCCATTTTCCCCCCAAACTCAGGCAGAGCCACGTCAGGATGAGCTGCTGCTCCAGCCACAGAAATCCCCAGAGTGAATAAACCTTCCCGAGGCTCCCAGAAACTCCAGTGCCCCATTTTCCATGGAAACACACCCACTTTGTGATTAATCCTTGGAAATAACGGCACGGCTGTTGTGAGCAGGGCGGGCACGGCACTGCCACCGGGAGCAGGACCCCAGCACAGCCCCCTCCCAGGCATTTACAGGAACACCACGTACCCCAAGTGCTGCACTGTGATCCCACTGCCACTCAGGGAGCCTCTGCAGCCACGGGCTGGGCTGGACACCGGGCTGGAGCAGCCTGGAGCATCCTCCACGCGCCAGGGTCACACCTGGCCGGGTTGGGGCGGTCCTGGGAGGAAGCAGGAGGTGTCACAGACCTCCAGGGACCCCCAGTGCCACCCACCCCACCTCCAGGGACCCCCAGTGCCACCCCCCCCACCTCCAGGGACCCCCACTCCGCTTCCCAGCACACAGATCTCCCCACACACCGCTCCAGCCATTGCTGCACCCCCACGGATTTTCTTGTGCCCAAACTCTCCCTGTCACTCTTTACCACAGATGAAAAGAGCCCAAAAACACCCCATCTGAGGCTCCAGGCTTTCCCCTGGGATCTGGGATCCCCAGCTCAGGGAGCACATGGAGCAGGAGGTTAAAACCCTTCAGAATCTCCCACTATTTGTCCAGCACAGGAAAAAATTCCACCTTATTGCATTTATATATATTTTAAACACCCAGCCCCCAGTGAGATTCCTTCACAGAGTGGACTTTGGGTTTGGGATCAGCTGAGTTTGCCACAGAACTCAGTTCAGGAGAGAAATTCTAAACCAGCACTTGGGGTTCAGTTCTTATTGTGTCTTTAATAATCAATTTTGTTGAGTTTAAAACTCTTTTAATTCCTCTCTAAGCCCTGCACACCCCTCAGGGACCCCAAAAGTCAGCCTGGGCTCTGCTCTGCCCTCTTCTGGGGGAATCACAGAATGATGGAGTCATGGGATAGTCTGGGTGGAAAGGGACCTTAAAACCCATCCAGCTCCACCCCTGCCATGGGCAGGGACACCTTCCACCAGCCCAGGTTGCTCCAAGCCCTGTCCAACCTGGCCTTGGACACTCCCAGGGATCCAGGGGCAGCCACAGCTTCTCTGCCCAACCTGTGCCAGGGCCTGCCCACCCTCACAGGGAAGAATTTCTCTCCAGTATCCCATCTCTCCCTGCCCTCTGGCAGTGGGAAGCCATTCTCTGTGTCCTGTCCCTCCATGCCCTGTCCCCAGTCCCTCTCCTGCCACAGAGCTCAGGGATGCAGCAGCTTCACCAGCCCCCCAAATTAGGGACAACCAGCCCCCAAATGGAGTTCCTCAGCCAGGTCACTGAGGGAGGACACGGTGTCACCGAGGCCAGCACTGCACTCCCTGCAGGGATCACACTCTGATTTCCAGGGAATTATGGAATGGCTTAGGGTGGACAATCGCTCTGAGACCCCAAGTCCACCCACCCCCCAGCACTGCCAAGGCCACCCCTGACCACGTCCCCACGTGCCACATCCACAGGGCTGTTTTAAATCCCCCCAGGGATTGGGTTTCCAACCCTGCCAGGGCTGGACAGCCCTTTCCAGGAGGAATTTTCTGCAATATCCAACTAAACCTCCCCTGGCACAGCTGGAGGCCGTTCCCTCTCCTCCTGTCCCTGTTCCCTGGGAGCAGAGCCCGACCCCCCCGGCTCCCCCCTCCTGTCAGGGAGTTGCAGAGCCAGAAGGTCCCCCCTGAGCCTCCTTTTCTCCAGGTGGGGCTGATCCCGGCACTAGGACCCGGGAGCCGCTGGATTCTGCGCCCTCCCGGCGGCTCCGCAGCACCGCAGCCCCCGCGGGTCCCTCCGGCAATCCCGGCTCGGCAGGGATGGGAGCGGGATCGATGCTCCGTAGCCACAGCAACGCCCGGACACGCCAAGGACGCGGCGGGAGGTCAGTGCATTCCAGCTCACCCCCATCCAACCCCCCCCGGCATTCCTGGCCAATTCCAGGTGGGATCATTCCCAGGAAAGCCGATTTAGCCGCGTCCCTGCTCCGCTCCATCGCTCGGCAATGGGAGCGGCAGGACTGCCCGTTCCCTGCGGGGCTTTGCTCGGCTACAGGAGCAGCAGCCCCGGATTTCCTCCCTCCCAAAACCCCCGGGATCCTGCTCCGAGCGATTCCCAGCCCTCAACTTCTCGCCCTCATTCCTTACGGAATTCCTGGCCATCCCCCTCCCTCAGAGGGCAGGTAAAGGGGGGTGTGGAGGGGGGGTGAATACCCTGGGGATTCCATAATCCATAAACCCCCTTCCACCAACACCCCAATCCCTGGAACACCCCAGTTCATGGAACACTGCAATCCCTGGAACACTGCAATCCATGGAGCACCCCAGTCCCTGGAACACCCCAGTCCATGGAACACCCCAATCCCTGGAACACTGCAATCCATGGAGCACCCCAATCCCTGGAACACCCCAGTCCATGGAGCACCCCAATCCCTGGAACACCGCAATCCATGGAACACTGCAATTGGAGCACCCCAATCCCTGGAACACCCAGCTGCAGAGCTGAGGGGCCGATCCAGCCGGGGCCCTGGCACCCCAGCTCCTGCATCCCTGCCATCCTCACCACCCAGCCCTGCCCTCCTGTTTTCCATTCTTCAGGCGTTTTTCCAACAAACAAACAGGGCAGACTGGAAATGCTGCAACCCCCCCAAAATGTTCCTTTGCCGCATGGGAGTGGAATTTGGGGCTCTGGATCATCGGTCACACGTGACCTCCTGGACAGCCCCAACAGCTCCTCAGGCTGAAATCCATCAGAACTCCTTTAAATCCATTAAATTTTCCCCGTCAGACACACCTAAGGAATCTAATCCCGCTTCAAACCCGCAGCCCCGAGGGAGTCAACAGGGGACAGGCACCACCGACAGGCACCACCCGGCTCCTCTGGAACACAGGGAGGCAGGAATGAAGGAATCGCTCCAAGGTCACCTGGGCAGGTGCTCCAACACCCAGCACAGCCCCTCCAGCAGCCCCGGGAAGGTGCCCCGGGAGAGCCCCGGGCTCCGGGAATCTCTGATGGACACGAGCACACCCGGAATTCTGGATGATGGACACGGAAACCCAAAAACGCTGCGTGGAACTGGGGCCTGCCGGGACCCCACGGCCCAGGAATGGCGTGGGAAGGTCCATCCTGACCCAGCCAGTCCGGATCCTGGAATTCCCAGAGCCCCCGGAGCCAGGGATGGCACCAGCAGAGCCCCCGGGACGTGGTGACCCCTCAGAGCCCACACAGGTACGGCCCACCTGGACCCCCCAGTTAACTGGGGTTTGCTAATTTAATCGAGGTAATTAATTAACAGCTAATCCATCTCATTGTTTATTCACATACTGTGCTCTGATGGAATTCCCAGCAGGCAGAATTCCCGGCTGGAAGGGGCTCTGCCTTCCCTGCATCCAGGACTGGGAAAATCCAGCCCTGCCAACCCTAACAAGCTCCTCCCAGTTAGTAATTAATTAACAGAGAATTGATCCCATTAATTAACTGTTCCAGCATTGTGCTAAGCGGGGCTGACAGAATTCCCAGCAGCCAGAACTCCCTGCTGGAAGGTGCTGGGCCTGCCCTGGGTGCAGGACCGGGGATCCCCAGCCAGGCCAACCCTGCTCCGTCCCTGCCAGCCCTAAGAGCTCCCCCAATTAGCCCAGGCACTAATTACTGCCTCACTCCCACCGCAGCTCCACATCAAACCTCCACACTCCCACACTGCCATCCTGAGGGACTGCGGGGTTTCCCTTCCCCCCAGACCCCCTCAGCCCTCCGGGAGCCCCCGCCATTCCTGATGGAGCAGAGCGTTCTGGCACTGCCTGGGAAAAGGAACAGCCCCGGGATCCGGGAACAGCCCCGGGATCCGGGAACAGCCCCGGATCCGGGAACAGCCCCGGGATGCGGGAACAGCCCCAGGATCCGCAGCCACAGGCAGGGCCTGGGAGAGAGGGAGGCCCCGAGGGGGAACCTCGGGGATGGGGGGGCACGGGGGACCCAGGGGACGGGGATCTTTAGGGGTGTCTGGGGAGTGGGGGGACCCCACAAGGGGGTAACAGACCCTGCACTGAGCCCTGCTCCGGTGCAGACCCCCAGAGCCCCCTCACATGGACCCCTAAACTTCCCCAGACTGCAAAGACCGCCCCCCTACATCTTTATACCACACCCCACAGACCCCCCCAAGTGACCCCCACACACCTCCCACACAGACCCCCAAACGCTCCCGTGCCTCCCACAGCTGCCTTCAGACCCCCAAAAAATCCCACTAGCTCCTCGTACAGACCCCCAAACGCCCCCACGTGCGCCCTGAGACCCACACACAGACCCCCATCATCCCTTTAGACCCCCACAGGCCCCTCACGCACCCCCCAAACACCCCTAGACACCCCAAACCCCTTTAGACGTCCCCGCACCCCCCCTGACGCCCCCACAGACCCCTCTACACGCCCAAAATCGCCCCCAGGCTCCCCAAAACCCCTCTTTAGATGCTGCCACCCCCTCCCCAGAATCCTGTACACCCCCATGACCGCCCCCAGACCCCTCACACAGACCCCAAACACCCCACGGACCCCCAAAACCCCCAAGCCCCCTTTAAATGCCCCCAGACGCCCCCATAGACCCCTCCACACCCCCACAATCACCCCCAGACCCCTCACTGCACCTAAAGCATCCCCTGACCCCAAACCCGAGTCCCCAGCCCCACAGACCTCCCACACCCCAAGACCCCCTTTAGACGCACAAACCCCTTTAGACGTCCCCCAAGACGCCCCAGACCCCCATAATCACCCAGACCCCCTCACAGTCCACACCCCCACAGACCCCAAAACCCCAAAGCCCCCGAGACCCCTCCCCCCCCAAGAACCCCAGCCCACAAAACCCCTTTAGATGTCCCCCCAAGACGCCCCACAGACCCCAATACAACCCCACAATCGCCCCCAGACCCCAAACGCCCCCACAGACCCCCCATAAGCCCCCCACCCCAAACACCCCCCACCCCTCAGACCCACCCCCATTACCGGAGCCGCTCCGCTCCCCACCACCCCCGCCACACCTCCCCGTGCCCCCACGCTCCGAATCCCCCTTTTCGCCCCAAATTCCACCTCCCCCCCCACCCCCGGTACCTCCGGCCCGGCCGCTCCCGGTACCGTCGACCCCGCCCGACCACGAGGACCCCCCGCACCCGCCGGGGCTGCTCCCGCGCCGTGCCTGACGCCCAGCGCGGCCGTACGGCCGCGCTGGGCGTCAGGCACGGCGCGGGGCAGCCCCGGCGGGGAAAGTAAGGGCAAATGAGCGGGGGCTTCGCGTTGCGCGCAAGCGCAAAGCGCGCAGTGAAGCCTCTCGGGGGGTGTCATGGCGGGGCCGGGCAAGGGGGAGGAGGAGGAAAATAAAAAAAAAAAAAAAAAAAAAAAAAAGAGGGGGGGATGGGACCAATCGGGGCGGGCCGGGAAGAGAAGGGACGAGACGGGGAGATAGGAGCCGCCGGTAAGTGTTGGCGGTGGTCCCCCCCGGTGATAGCAGCAGGGGGAAGTGGTTGCCATGGAGACGCGTTGTTTATACGCCCCCTCCTCAAGGAGCGGGGTTGGGGGGGGGGTGGGCTCGATCTTGCTCCTGCTCGTGGTCTTGGTGTTGATTCCAGCGCGGGAGGCGGGGAGGAGATCCCCCGCCCCCCCCAAAGAGAGTCCTCTAAGGGGGTGTTCCCAAAAAAGGGGGGGGTCTCCCATTAGGGGATCCCAAAAGGGGGTTCCCCCAAGGAGGGGTCTCGGAGCGGGGCATCCCAAGGGAGGGTCCCTAAAGGAGGGGTCCCAAAGTTTGGGTTCCCCAAAGAGGGGGTCTCTGGGGAGGGGTCCCTAAGGGGGTATCCCCAAGGAAGGGTCCACAAGGACGGGTCCCAGACTTGGGGGGGACACCGCGTTCCCCTATTCCCGTATTCCCGAGGCTCTTCCATGCCCGCCGCCCCTTCCCACCGGCCTGGCCTGGGACTGGAGCTGCTCCTCTTTTCCCGGTGCCGGGGGGGTCTTATCCCGGTCCCCAAGGGTCTTTTCCCAGTGTTTCGAGGGTCTCTTTCCGGTCCTGGAGGGTCTTTTCCCGGTCTCCGGGAGTTTTTCCCACTCTCCGATCATCTCCTCGTAGTCCTGGACGGTCTTTTCCCTGTCCCTGGGAGTCTTTTCCCGCTGCCAGAGGGTCTTTTCCGGGTTCCAGAGGGTCATTTCGCAGTCCCGGAGGGTCCTTTCCCGGTCCCCGTGTCCCCCCGACAGCAGGGCTGGTGTTCCCCCCGTCCAGTTTCCACCCCAGTGCCCCTTGCCCACCCCGCCGGGTGCTCCGGGACGTCTCCCACGTTTACGCGTCCAGGAACTGGGATTCGGTGTCGCGGCCAGGCTTTAATGCCCCGTCAGGATTCCCCCCCTCGATCCTTGCTGAATTCCAGGGACACGGCCAGTGCCACCCCCGGGAGTGCCCGGTCCCAGCTGACCCCGGGATAACTCCCGGCCCGCTCCCGGAGCCGCCGCTGCCCGCCGGGAGCTGCGGGTGAGCTTTGGGGTATCCCGGGAGCTTCAGGGGGGGTTCGGGGGCTGCGCCGCGCTGGCTCATCCCTGGATCGCGGGGGGATTCCCGCCGGGATAAAGCCGGGAACGGAGTGAAACCGAAACCGAAACGGGCTCTGCCCCGGCTGGGGGGAAGGGACCCCGAAACGGGTCGGGCCGTGCCGGGTGGCGGGGCCGCGTCCCGTCCAAGACTGTCCCTGTCCCCGCAGCGGTGGCCGCGGCGGCTGATCCCTGACTGTCCCGCTCCCGTTCCTGTCCCCAGGGATGCCCCGGCGGCGGGCAGTGCCCACAGTCACTGATCCCTGACTGTCCCATCCCCAGGGATGCCCCGGCGCAGGGCAGTGCCCACAGTCACTGCTCCCTGACTGTCCCATCCCTGTCCCATCCCCAGGGATGCCGCGGCGCTGGGCAGTGCCCACAGTCACTGATCCCTGACTGTCCCATCCCCAGGGATGCCCCGGCGCCGGGCAGTGCCCACGCTGGCCTCGCTGTGCCTGCAGAGCCTGGCCCAGCACATGCAGAGCCTCTGGGCCAAGGACTACAGTGACAACTACCTGGATGAGTACGAGTTCCGCTTCCTCGTGGGCCCCTTCAACGACCTGGGTGAGCCCCAGGACCCCCAGGGGGGAATGAAGTGCCGGGGTCCCCAAGCCCCCCGTGCTGGGCGGGAGGTGGTGCCAGGGCCCTGGGACCCCCAGAGGGATGGAGGGGGGTCCCAGGTATTACTGACTGCCAGCTGGATGGGTGGGTGTGCCAGGGCCCCGAGACCACCATGCAGGGCAGGTGGAAGTGCCGGGCAGCACTGACCCTTGGGGATCCCAAGACCCGCTGCCCCCCATTGCCCTGGGTGGGTGTGTGGGTGGGTGTGTGAGCCCCGCTGTGGGGTGGGTGGGTGTCCCACGCCTCGCTGCCCTGCTCTGGGTGCGTGGGTGGGTGCCTGAGCCCCGCTGTGGGGTGGGTGGGTGTCCCACGCCTCGCTGCCCTGCTCTGGGTGAGTGGGTGGGTGTGTGAGCCCTGCTGACCCCCGTGTGGGGTGGGTGGGTGTGCCACACATCGCTGCCCCTGTTCTGGGTGTGTGAGCCCCGCTGTGGGGTGGGTGGGTGTCCCACGCCTCGCTGCCCCTGTTCTGGGTGTGTGAGCCCCGCTGTGGGGTGGGTGGGTGTGCCACGCCTCGCTGCCCCTGTTCTGGGTGTGTGAGCCCCGCTGTGGGGTGGGTGGGTGTGCCACGCCTCGCTGCCCTGCTCTGGGTGCGTGGGTGGGTGCCTGAGCCCCGCTGTGGGGTGGGTGGGTGGGTGGGTGCCTGAGCCCCGCTGTGGGGTGGGTGGGTGGGTGGGTGTCCCACGCCTCGCTGCCCTGCTCTGGGTGCGTGGGTGGGTGCCTGAGCCCCGCTGACGCCGTGCCCCCAGCCTGCGGGCTGGTGCAGGAGCTGCTGCGGGTGCTGGGTGCCAGCCGGCGCCTGTCGCGCGCGGCGCTGCACCTGCTGCTGCTGCCTCACCTGCGCCAGCTCAGCCTGCGGCCCTGCCCCAGCCTGGCCAACAACGCCCTGGGGCACCTCATCGTCCTGCGCTGCCAGGTGGGCGCGGGGGCCCTGCCCTGGCGATGGGGGAGCGGGGTGACGGCTTCCCTGGGGCTAGGGGAGGGGGGGGTGTGTCACGGGCCTTGGGGCTGGGGGTGCCACTCTCTGTGGGGCTGGGGGAGAGGGGCCGGGGGTGCCATGGTCGGTGGGGCTGGGGAGGTCCACCTTCCGTGGGGCTGGGGGTGCCGTGGTCCATCGGGAGAGTGGGGCAGGGGGTGCCCATCCTCTGTGAGGCTGGGGATGCCCACACACCGTGGGGCTGGGGGTGCCGGGGTCCGTGGGAAAGGGGGAGTGGGTAGGGGTCCCACACTTGCGTGGCGTCTTGGGGTGCCCGCCCCCCACAGGTGGGTACAGGGGGTTCCTGCCCCCCTGCCCGCCCCGCTGAGGCTCTCCCCGTGTGACCGCAGGGCCTGAGCTCCCTGGACCTGGGGGGCTGCGGGCGGCTGTCCCCGGCCGTGCTGGTGGACGTGGCCGAGGGGCTGCCCCGGCTGAGCCGCCTGGGGCTGGCACACACGCAGGCCAACGTGCAGGTGCTGTCGGCCGTGGGCTCCTGCTGCCGCCTCCTGCGGGAGCTCGACGTGTCGGGCTGCAGGAAGGTGACCCCGCGCGCCCTGCGGCACCTGGGCTACGACCCCCTGGCACGGACCCCCGGCTGCCCCGCGCTGCGAGTGCTGCTGGCCCGCGACCTGGAGCCCACCGGCGACGGGGACACGGTGGCCGCCGTGGCCTTCCTGCTGCTGGCCCTGCCGCAGCTGGAGGTGCTGGCGCACGGGGCCGTGCCGGACGCGCTGCGCCTGCTCCACGCGGGGCAGCTGGACGGCACCGCCGACCCCGAGGGCTTCCTGGCGCTGCAGGAGCTGGCGCGGGGCCGGGGGGCGGCGCCGGGGGGGCCCCCGCTCAGCCTGCCCCTGCGGCAGCTCGAGGAGGTGGAGGAGGACGCCCTGGGCACCGTCCACGCCGTGTGTCCCCGGGCCGAGGAGCTCAGCGTGTGGCTGGGGGACGGGCCCGGCCCCGCGGGGCTGCGGGAGCTGCCGGGCTGGCAATGCCTGTCCCGGCTGACGCTGGGCTGTGCCGGCCGGCACGGCCGGGCGCTGGCAGAGGTGCTGCCGCTGGCGGAGGCCCTGGGCGCCCGCCTGCACGCCCTGACCCTGCACGGCTTCAGCTGCCCGGACCCGCTGTCGCTGCCCGCCCTGCTCTCCGGCTGCCCCAGCCTGCAGAGCTTCAGCACCGAGCTGCACGTGCCGCCGGACCCCCACGCCCCCGCCGAGCCCCCCGCCCCGCCGCCCCGCTGGGCCACCGACCTGCTGCCCCTGGGGCTGCCCCAGCTCCAGAGCTTCTCGCTGGCCCTGGCCGGGCCCGTGCCAGCCGCACACGTGCCGGTGCTGAGCTCCACGCTGGCCTCGGTGCTGAGCCGGGCCCCGCGGCTGCAGACGCTGCGCCTGCTCACCCTGCCCTTCCCGCTGGACTCGGTGCTGGAGCCGGAGCTGGGGGAGCTGGGGGAGCTGCAGGAGCTCTCGCTGGCCGGGAGCCACGTGTCCCCCCACACCGTGTGGCACCTGCTGGGCTCCGAGGGGCCCCTGCGGCGCCTGGACCTGTCCCGCTGCCCCCACATCCACCGGCGCGACTACGATGGGTTCCTGCAGTTCGTGCAGAGGCAGCGCCTGGACCTGGACATCGCCTGGGAGTGACGGCACCGGGGGCTTTAATAAAGGGGTCACAGTCCCATCTGGCCGGTGCTGTGTCATCCTTTGGGTGCCACAGGGCGGGCACACGGCAACCAGAGGGGCGATCGTGTCCCCCTCCCCACCCTGAGGGTCTCCCTGCACGGCCACATCCCGAGGGCTCAGCCCTGGGGTCCCTCCGTGAGCCCCGTCAGCTGCTCCGATGCCTCCCAGAGCTTCCGAGCCAGCGCGGCGTCGCGGGCGGGCGCCGAGGGCAGCGCCAACCGGCACGAGCTGTCGAAGTATTTCCCGCTGATGCCCTCGGCCTCCTCCGACACGGCGCAGAAGATGGTGCTGGCAGCGCCCTGCTCGGCCGACTGCGGGGGACGGGGGTCAGGGAGGTCCTGCAGCCCCTGCCCCCCCGCGGCCCCCGGGCCAGGCAGGACCCGGCCCCGCTCACCTTCATGAAGGGGCGCAGGAGCACGAAGAGCACCCGCATGGCCCAGCTGAAGTGGCGCATGATGCTGGTGCTCACCACGCCGGGGCTCAGCGCGTTGGCCGTCACCCCTGCCGGGCCGCACCGTCAGTGCCAGGGCACCACGGGGAACAGCGGGAGCAGCCCCTAGCCCGGCCTCGGAGCAGGGGCTCCGCCGTGCCTGGCACCAGGGCCACCCTGGCCACGGTTCTGCTGCCCACAGATGTTCTGGGGAGTCTCTAACAGGGTGAGACCCCCCCAGCCCCATCGGCAGCCCCTGGGCCGTGGCACAGCAGCACAGAGGGGTCGGGATGGGGGGTGGCCCCACAGCACGGCCGAGCCCGGCACCCACCTGTGCCGCGCAGACGCCGCGCCAGCTCGGCGGTGAAGAGCAGGTTCATCAGCTTGGTGCTGCTGTAGGCAGCGTCGTACCCGCCCGGGTGCCGCTGCCCCGTGAGGAACCTGCTGTCAGCCGTGCCCACGCTGTGCCGGAACGACGAGACGTTGACCACCCGCGAGGGCGCCGAGGCCTTCAGCAGGTCTGTGAGGAGCAGGGGGTGAGCAGGGAGGGGTCCCAGGATCCGCCACACCCCGTGCTCCCCCAGCAGTGGGTGGTGAGCAGGAATGGTGTGAGAGGGGAGGGGACCCCAGAGCCCCCAGTCCCCCACACACCCAGCAGCAGGTTGGTGAGCAGGAACGGGCCCAGGTAGTTGGTGGTGAAGGTTTGCTCCAGCCCTTCTGAAGTGATGGCGAAGGGCAGCCCTGGAAAAGGGGGGTGGGCACTGTGGGGCATCGGGGTATGGCGCTGGACCCCGCCGGGCCGGGGGCCGCGGGGCCGTACCGGTGACACCGGCGTTGTTGACCAGCACGTCGAGCCGCGGCTCCTCCTGCAGCACGGCGCGGGCGAAGGCGCGCACCGAGGCCAGCGAGCCCGTGTCCAGCAGCCGCAGCACCACCGCCGGGTTCCCGGTGGCCGCCTGGATCTCCTCCACCGCCGCCTGGCCCCGCTCCCGGCTCCGGCACGCCAGGATGGTGCGGGCGTTCCGGCGTGCCAGGTCCATGGCCACGCACTTGCCGATGCCTGCGGCACAGGGAGCTGGACGGGCTGAAACCTGACAGGCCCCCACGGCAAGGGGTCCCCGGGGTCTGTGCCCCTGTCCCCAGGGTCCGGGCAGCCCCTGCTGCGGTCCCCAAAACCCCCCAGCAGCGCAGTGCCCACACGGCTCTGCTGCAGTGCTCCAGCACAGCAGGAAACAACGGGCACCGGGGCAGAAATGGAGCCAAGCACACGTGGGGCCACCCTGTCCCTGGGCACATGTGGACACCCCAATCCCAACCCGGCGGTCCCAGTGTCCCTGGCTGTGCCAGCCCGACCCCGTGCTCAGCAGTGGGACACAGGTGGGAGCAGTGACTCCCTCCCCGGTGTGACACGGTGGCTCTGGTGGCCGGCAGTGCGGTGACGTTGGTTGTCAGTCATTAACGCAGCCAGGAAAGAGTCTGGACACCGAGGCTGGGCAGGGGGCATGGGGGGTGCCCACCCGGCGTGAGGTGCCACGGGCATGGGGCACGGGCAGCACATTGTGGGTTCCCAGGGACAAGCCACCAGCTGCTCCCGCAGCTGTTCGCACCCCTGAGGCAGGGGCTGGGCTCCAGGGCTGGAGAAGGGACACCCACGCTCCCCGCCAGACACCCCACAGCTCCGTGTCACCCACACACACGTCCCCGTCCCCTCTCACCGCTGTTGGCTCCGGTGACAATCACCGTCTTGCCCGTCAAGTCGGTGGGACACTTGCGGGGGTCCCAGGGGGGTCTACGCCTGGCCCAGAGCAGCAGCCCCGAGAGCAGGAGCAGCAGGAGCCACCACGGGGGGCTCAGGGCCCCCGGCAGCTCCATGGCTGGGCGCGGCTGGGGCCGGGGACAGAGGTCGGAGCAGGACCTTTGCCCAGCCGGCAGCAGGGCACGGCACGGGCCCCTCCGGCCCGGGAGTGCCGGGACGGACAGGAGAGTGGCTGGAGCGGGCAGGAGGGTGATCTGCGTGCCCCCTGTGCCACCCCGCCAGGAAAGGGCTAATGACAGCTGCAGTATCTCCTCTGATCGGCGCTCGGTGGTGAAACCCGTCACAGAAAACACCGTGGGCGCTGCCTCCGCCCCAGCCGCAAGAGGAACAAGGTTTCATTTCTGGCCCTGCCCAAGCGGGACCCAATCGGCTACTTTTCACCCCAGTTCCCCTGCGGTGCATTGCGCGAGAAGGGAAGAGCTGCACAAGTGCGGGAAGTGGGGTCACAAATAAGACACTTGATTTTCGGGTATTTGTCTTGCTCAACACGCAGACTGGAGCCCCACGAGCACCGACTGAAGGGCAGAGCACGTGTGACAGCGAGACCACGCCCTCTTCACATAACGCTAATTATGAACTGAAACCACGCCCACTCTGAATCTCACTCTAACGAGGATCCGAAAACCACGCCCACTCCCCCTCTTATGCTAATGAGTAACAAAGTAGGCGTTGTTTCCAGGTGCCACTGCGGTGTCCCCTGTACCACCTCAGTGTCCCTTGTGCCACCCCAGGGCTGTTCACCCACCTCACTATCACCCCGGAGCGGCAGCAGGAGCTCGATGCCCGGAGCAGCCCCGACCCGGCGTCCGCGTCCTCCGGGACGGGCAGCCCGGGGACAGGGGCAGGTCCACGGCGAGCTCACGGGGTGAAGCCACCCGTGTCAACCCGTTACATCCCCTTGGTTTCTCCTCTGGGGGCAGATGGGTTGCGGGGACGCCCCGCAGGGGGTTGGAGACACCGCGATTGCTGCGACCGGAGCTCCCGGCCCCGCTCCGGTGGGACCGTCCAGGCCCCGCTCCCGGTGGGACCGCCCAGGCGCCGCTCCCGGTGCCGCGCAGCGGCGGGAGCCCGGCGACCGAAAACTCCTTTGATTTCATTTCATTTATCCCTGTTCTCTTCAGCAGCGCGATTGGAGGTGGGACACGGGGTGCCGAGGACCCCCCGAGGGCCGGGGGTCCCCCGGAGCTGGGACAACCCCGGGAGGGGCAGCGCCCGTATTCCCAGCAGGTTTTCCAGGCGCTGCCTTCAGCGCTCGCCGTCCCACGCGAGCCGGAACGCCGGGACGGAGAGGATGGGCCTCAGCTCCCGCTCGGGCTTGCTCACCTCGCCCTCCTCCTCCTCCTCCTCGCCGTGCCCCGCCGTGCCCGGCCCGCGCCGCTCGCTGCCGCCCCAGCGCACGGTGACCCCGGGCGCCAGCAGCGCCGAGCTCAGCCAGGACTCACACGGCAGGGGCTCGGGGCTGGTGGGGCCCGGCGGGGGCTGCGGGGTCCCGGGCGGGGGCTGCCGGCCCCGAGGGGTCCCCTTGTCCGGCCCCCGGCTGGCGCGGGGGGCACCGCGGGGCCGCGGCCGCTCGGGCTCGACGAACACGTCCAGCACCTTCACCTGCGGCCGGATCCGCGCGGAGCCGCGGCGGAGCCCCGGCCTGGCGACCCCGGGGCGGGGCCGGGCCCCTCCGGAGCCACCCCTGCCCGCCGGGGGGTCTCCCCGGCCGGAGGGACCCCAGGCTGGCACGGGCGGACGGTGGCGGTGCTGGCTCTTGGTCGCCCACCCCGGCCCCGCGGGACTCCGCGGTTCCCCCCGCGCTGGGGTCCCTGGAGGCTCGGCCGGGCGCGGGGCCGGGGGCCGGGGGTCCCGCGGGGCCGGGTGGGGCCGCGGGGGCCGCGAGGGACAGGGGTCTCTGTCGGCGAGCCGGGGGGCGGTGGGAGGCTGCGGGCGGGGTGGGCCTGGCACGGGTAGGACGGGGACAGCGCCGGGGGGAGCTCCGGCTGCTGCGGGGGGGTCCCGGCTCGGGGGCTTCGCACCGGGGACCTGCCGGGGGCAGAGGGGAGCTGGTGTGAGCGGGGGTGTCAGGGTGCTCCGTGGAGTGACCCGGGGCGGGTGACACTCTGGGTGGCCCTGGAGCTACCGGGGCTCAGCGCGGGGGGGATGGGGGTGTCACAGGGACGGGAGGGGCACGTCTCACCTCTCTCCGGGACAGACGGACAGGCAGGACGGTGACAGAGTCGCGGGCCCGGAGGGGACGCTCAGAGAGAAGCCTCGTCTGTCATGGGGGATTCCTGGGACGGGACCTGCCCGGGGGACAAAGAGGGGCCGGTGTGGGTGACACCCGGTGTCCCACGGCCCCGGGGGTCTCGGGGGGGTCGGGGCAGGTCTCACCTCTCCCAGGGACGGAGTGACCTGCTGGACGGGGACAACGCCCTGCGCCCAGGTGTCCAGCGCACAGGGCTGGGGCTCCTCGTCCTCTCTCCAGGCTCGGGCTCGCTCGGGGTCCGGGTCCCTCTCGGGGTCGGGGTCCCCCTCGTCCCGCGCCAGGAACCGCCACTCAACGACACACAGGATGGCGTCCCGCGCCCGGGACACCGTGTAGGGCACCCGCTGCACGGACATCGCTGAGACCCCCTCGCGGACTAACCAGACACTCCCAGGACCCCCAAATGGGGGGAGGGGGGTCTCTCACCTGCCGCGCCACCGCCGCCCGCACGCACTCGGCCATCACCCGGTCCAGGAGCTCGGCCAGGATGTCCCCGACATCCAGGGATTCCCCTGGCGGGGACGCCCCCCCGCCCTCGGCCGAGTGGGTGTCAGAGGAGTGGGAGGTCCGGGGGGAGGCCGGGACGGGGGGGTGCGACTTGTCCCGTCGCGGTTTGCGGGCCACCGATCTCCTTTTCTGCGCGGGGACAGGAGATGCTCACAGCTCCCCCCGCCCGAGCGAGCGAGGACACCGCACTCCGGGTGGGACCGGCCCAGTGCACCCCAGTGGAGACCAGTACAGCACAGCCCACCCCAGCGCGGCCCCCCAGCTCATCCGAGTACATCCCAGTATAGACCAGTACAGCACAGCCCACCCCAGTGCGGCCCCCCAGCTCATCCCAGTATAGACCAGTACAGCACAGCCCACCCCAGCGCGGCCCCCCAGCTCATCCGAGTACATCCCAGTATAGACCAGTACAGCACAGCCCACCCCAGTGCGGCCCCCCAGCTCATCCCAGTATAGACCAGTACAGCACAGCCCACCCCAGTGCGGCCCCCCAGCTCATCCGAGTACATCCCAATATAGACTGGTACAGCACAGCCCACCCCAGTGCGGCCCCCAGCTCATCTCAGCACACTGCAGTGTAGACCGGTACACCACAGCCCACACCCCAGGATAGCCCACACACCCCAGCTCATCCCAGGACATCCCAGCTTGTCCCAGTACGCTCCAACTCCCCACACCCACGACCCAGCTCCTGCCACCCCGCTCTGTCCCCGTCCCCAGCCCCGGTGACCCCCCGGTCCCACCTCGGCCATCCCGCCCCGTGGCGTCCCGGTCTCCACGGCAACGCCTGCGTCATCGCCGCGCGCCGCTCTCCGGGTGCGTCATCACGCCGCGACGCGTCTCCATGGCGGCGGCGGGCCCCGGGTGAGCGGGGGGGCTCGGAGGGACGGGCGGCCTGGGTCGGGCACGGGGGTTCTGGGATCCCTGGGAGAGAACGTTGGATCTGCCCCCGGGAGCCCTGGACCTGTCCCCGAGCCCCCTGGAGTTCTTCGGGCCCCTTGGAGCTGCCCCGGCCCTCTGGATCTATCCATGCCCTCTCTGGATCCATCCATGCCCTCTCTGGATCCATCCATGCCCTCTCTGGATCCATCCATGCCCTCTCTGGGTCTATCCATGCCCTCTCTGGATCCATCCATGCCCTCTCTGGATCTACCCATGACCTCTCTGGATCTGTACATACTCTCTCTGGGTCTCTCCCTGCCCTCTCTGGATCTGTCCATGTCCTCTCTGGATCTACCCATGTCCTCTCTGGATTTGTCCATGCCCTCTCTGGATCTATCCATGCCCTCTCTGGATCCATCCATGCCCTCTCTGGGTCTCTCCATGCCCTCTCTGGGTCTCTCCATGCCCTCTCTGGATCTGTCCCTGCCCTCTCTGGATCCATCCCTGCCCTCTCTGGGTCTCTCCATGCCCTCTCTGGATCTGTCCATGCCCTCTCTGGATCCATCCCTGCCCTCTCTGGATCCATCCATGCCCTCTCTGGTTCTGCCCGGTCCCTCTGTACCGGTTGGGCCCCCGTCCCGTGTGACGCCCGGCCGTGTGCCCGCAGGTACCGGCGGGAGCGGGCTCTGGCCCTGCGGAGCAGCAGCTCCGCCCTGTACAACAACCTGGCCGTGCTGTTCTCCCCCGCGCGGCCCCCCCGGGCCTTCGGCGCCGTGCACGGCACCACCCTCAGCCTGCTGGCCCCCGAGGGGCCCCCGCGGCAGCTGCCGGCGCGGGGGGGCGGCTCGGCCCTCAGCACCCCCCTGCTCACACAGGTGAGGGGCACGGTGGGGCCCCGCCCGGGCCTGGCAGCGCTGGGGGAGCCCCGGCACCCTCCTGGCACTGCAGGTGACCTCGGAGCCAGGGAGGAGGGCGAGGGGGCCCCGGGATCCCACAGGGCCCTCACTGTGGGGAGGGGGAGAGGGAAGCAGCCCCTTGGGGGGTTTGTGGGACACTGACAGGGACCCACCCATGGGATCCCCAAATACACCTGGCCCTGGGGGGCTGTGACCGGGCCCTCCCCCAGGAGTGGGGTTTGGGGGGAACCCAGGAGAGCAGAGGGGGGTCCTGCCCCTGGTGCAAGGTTTTGGAGGATCCCAGGGGGGTCCTGCCCTGCCTCCCTCCTGCCCTGCTCTGTCCCCCAGGCCGCCTGGTGTGAGCTGCCAGCCCGGGTGCTCCTGGTCCTCACGTCCCAGCGCGGTGTCCAGGTGAGGGCTGGGGGGCTCAGGAGGGTCCCTGGAGGTCCCACTGTGCCCCCAGGGCTGTCACCCCCCCGTGTCCCACCCTGTCCCCCCGTCCCAGATGTACGAGGCCGATGGCTCCACCCTGGTGTTCTGGCACGCGCTGGACGTCCCAGAGCACCCGGCAGGTGAGTGCCCCGAGCCCCCAGTGCTGCAGGGACACCCCAGATGTGTCCCCAGGTGCCACATCCACAGGGCTGTTAAATCCCCCCTGCCCTGGGCAGCTGTGCCAGGGCTGCACAGCCCTTTCCAGGAGGAATTTTCCCCATATCCAACCTGCCCCTCCCCTGGCACAGCTGGAGGCCGTTCCCTCTCCTCCTGTCCCTGTTCCCTGGGAGCAGAGCCCGACCCCCCCGGCTCCCCCCTCCTGTCAGGGAGTTGCAGAGCCAGAAGGTCCCCCCTGAGCCTCCTTTTCTCCAGGCTGAGCCCCCCCCGCTCCCTCAGCCGCTCCTGCTGCTCCAGCCCCTTCCCAGCTCCTGCCCTGGACATGCTCCAGCCCCTCTGGGTCTTGTGAGGTGCCCAGAACTGCCCCAGGGTTGGGCAGTGACCCCCAGTGCCTGGCACAGGGTTCAGTCCCTGCCCTGGGGTCCCCAGGGGTGACACAAACCCTTCCCTTCCAGCACATTCCGTGTTTGCCCGAGGCATCTCCACGGCCGGGGAGCGCTTCATCTGCGTGGGTGAGCTGGGCTGGGTGTGGGCAGGGCAGGGAGCCCGGGAGGGCTGAGCCCTGCTGACCCCCTGACCCGCAGGGACGTCCTCCGGGGCTGTGCTGGTATTCGACATCCCCCCCAAAGGCACCAACGTGACCCTGAGTGAGGTCCTGGAGCAGCACCGACACCCCATCACCGACATCGCGGCCGAGCAGGGCCAGGCCCCGGTAAGGGGGAGGGTGGGGACCCCTAAATCCCATCGATCTCACCCCCTGCCATGGGCAGGGACACCTCCCACCAGCCCAGGTTGCTCCAAGCTCTGTCCAACCTGGCCTTGGACACGTCCAGGGATGGGGGAGCCACAGCTTCTCTGGAAACCTGTACCAGGGCCTGCCCACCCTCACAGGGAAGGATTTCTTCCCCAAGTCCCACCCAAATCTCCCCTTTTCCAGTGGGAAGCCATTCCCTGTGTGCTGTCCCTCCATTCCTTGTCCCAAGTTCCTCCCAGCTTTCCTGGATCTCCATTAGGCACTGGAAGCTGCCAGGACTGGGTCCCTGCAGATGCTCATCAGCCTCCTCCCTGCACATGAGACCGCTTAGCACTTTCCCTGATGAGTCACAAGGAACTTTCCCTTCACTGGGATCCCCAAGGAATTCATCCCCAGAACCGGTTCCCAGAGCTGTTGTGTCACCGTGGGGACACGGAGCTGCTGTGTCACCATCCCCTCATACATCCCCCTGGACTTTGCTCCGTGGGTTCCGGAGACTCCTGGGGCCAGGGTGTGGGACTCCTGGGGCTGGGAGGAGTCGAGACTCATCCCTGAGGGAGGGGTGCACTGATTGTTCCTCGAAATCCGCCCTTGGTGTGGCTGTGTGGGCAAACAGGGACGTGTTTCAGTGGAGCTGCCGTGGGCACTCCCGGCCCCGCTTGGGCACATCTGTCAGCACTTCAGGAGCTGAGTCAGCTCCTCCTGGGGCCTGTGGGGCAGCCCTGGAGCCGGGGGCAGTGCCAGGGCCCATCCTGAGCCATCTCTTTCCCAGGAGGGAGCTGGGGACCTGGTGACAGCCGATGACTCTGGGACCCTCTGCCTGTGGAGCACCGGGGAGGAGTTCACCCTGCTCAGAAAGATCCCGGGATCTGGGTGAGCCCCGGGGAGTCTCATGGAGTGTCAGACACATGGGAGGGTGACTTGGGGGGACCCTGGGCAGGAGGTGACATGAGCTCCTGTCCCCAGCTGCACCTGCTCCTCGGTGACACTGTGGAACGGGATCGTGGCTGCGGGCTACGGGAACGGGCAGATCCGGCTGTGGGAGGCAGGGTCGGGGCAGCTCCGTGCCCAGGTGAATGCCCACGCCCGCTGGATCTACGCCCTGGACCTGGCACCGCTCACTGGAAAGGTACGGGGGTCAGGGCATCCCACCCGGCATCCCACCCAGCATCACACCCGGCATCCCACCCAGCATCCCACCCAGCATCACACCCAGCATCACACCTTAGCATTCCACCCTGGAATCCCATCGGGAATCCCACCCCTGTGTCCTGCCCTGGCGCTGCCACTGCCATGGTGTCCCCACGGCCCCTCCGCTCCCCTCACAGCTGCTGTCGGGCGCAGAGGATTCCTTTGTCCACGTCTGGGAGCTCAGCAGGGACCCGGACACGGATGATGTCGAGGTGAGTCTGGGCCTGGGACAGGGATGGCCCTTGGAGCCCCATCTGCTCCGTGGGGGCTGGGCAGGGCGGTGTCCCGGGAGCCGTGGCTGCCCCGGTGCCGGCGCTGCTCCCGCAGATCCGGCACTGCCACGCCGAGTGCGTGACGGACACGCAGGTCTGCGGCGCCCGGTTCTGTGACCCCGCCGGGGACACCTTCGCCGTCACCGGCTACGACCTGAGCGAGATCCTCTGCTACGGCCTGGCCTGAGCCGGCAACGCCGGCAGCACCGGCTCAATCCGGCACCGCAGGTGAGGGGTGGGCACAGACCCCCTGCAGCTCCGTGGGGATGTGACGGGGGAGCTGGGCCTGATCCCCCCGTGCCCAAAGCCCTGCCGAGGGCTGGAGCTGCTCTGGAGCCACCCCATCGAGGGGATCCCGAGACACTCCCGTGGCCCCCCCTCCAGGTCCTGGGATCCTCCCGTGGCCCCCCGCCCTTCCCGGAGGGTGGCGTGGCTGGGAACGGGCTGGCCCAGACGGGCGGATCCCGGGAAACCTGTGCTACCTGCTGCCCTGCCCCGCCCGGGAGAGCCCCGAGCCTGGCCCAGCCCTGAGCCTGGCCCAGCCCCCGGGGGCAGCTCCCCAGCCCCAAGAACGTGGGGCCACACGGGGACCGGCATGGGAGGAAGTGGGGGATCAGTGGGGACGCAGGGAGTCTGGGAGAACACCCCTGTGTGTTCTTGTGCCCCCGTGGGACCTCACACCCCCTTGGAACCCCACAGCCCTGTGGGACCCCAACCTCCTGTAGGACCCCACAGCCCCGTGGGGCGCCCAGCTCCCGTGGGAACCCCCACCCCCATGGGACCCCGCAGCCCCACATCCGCTGGCCAGACGTGCAGGGCCCCAGCTGTGCTCCGGGGCTGGAAACAGCAGCAGCTGCAGCAGGACCTCAGGGACGTCCTCAGGTCCCCTTGGTTTCCCCCTGGCTGCCCCTGACCCCCCTGGCGGGCTGCCCTGCCCCAGCCCCCTCGTGGGAGCTGACGTGACCCCAGCCTCTGCTCCCAGGGCCCTGTGAGGCCATAGTGGGGACACAGAGACAAGGGGGGGCTCAGCCTGGGACAGGCCCTGAGGGGGGAGCCCCCAGCCTGCCCCCCAGCCACTCCTGCCATGCTGGGGGACGAGCCATGGACAGGGATCTGCCCCCTCAAGAAATGACCTCACCCACATGTCCCTTTTGTGTCTCCCCCAACCCATGAGCTGCACCCCCATGTGTGGGTCAGGCCCCCCTACTCCTGTTCCCAACCCTCATGTACTTTGTACCCCCCAATAAATACACCCCAATGAAGCCCCCTCAGTGTTGCTCCTTTCTATGGGGGGGGGCTCCCACCCCAGAGGGGTTTGGGGGTGCTCAGAGCCGGGTCCGTTACAAAAAGCTTTATTAAAGGTTAAAACAGCTGCTGCTGAGGCGGGGGGGCCCACTCCGGGCCGGGGGGCCCCACTCCAGGCCGGTGGGGCCCTGGAGGGCCCGGGGACCGCTGTGCTCCTGGGGTAAAAAAGTGTAAAAATGGTTGTGCAGTTCAGCCCGGGGGGGTTGGACAGTGCCACCCCCACTCTGGGGGGACACAGCCCAGGGACAGGGACAATCCCCCCCAGGGCCAGAGCCAGGGCCAGGGGCCCGTCCAAGGCACAGAGATGAGCCGGGGGCTCTCGCAGCCACACAAGCACCCAGGGACCCTCCCCTGCACCCACCCCCCACCCCACCCTGCTCACAGCTTGGCCCCCCACCCCTTGGGGGGGAGAAAATACAGCACCAGAGAGCCCTGCGGGGGAAAAGCCCTCAAGAAGGATGGGGGGGCAGCAGAGCCCCCGCTCCCTGCACGCCCCCAGCCCCAAATACTGCTCGGTCAGAGGTAGCACCAGCGTTGGCTGGGGCAGGGGGCCCTGCCGGGGGGCTCCAGCCCAGCCCCCCTGGGGGAAGGCACGGTGGGCAGGGGGCTGTACCCCGGCAGAGCCTGTAAACAGCCAGGGGTGAGACAGGTAAACAGGCCCTCAGCCCTCAGCCCAGTGTGGGGACCCCCAGCCTGGCCAAGCCCCACAGCCCAGCACGAGGGTCCCAAGGCAGAGCCCCCCAGGCCAGGGTGGGGGGTCATAGGGCCCAGCCCTTCAGCCCTGTGTGGAGTCCCTGGGGCTGAGCCCCCCATTCCAGTGTGGGGATCCTGAGCCTGAGCCCCACCGCCCAGCACAGGGACCCCCAGCCCAGTGTGGGAGCCCCAGCCCAGCACAGGGACCCCCAGCCCAGCACAGGGGTCCTGAGGCCGAGTCCCTCAGCTCAGAGGGAGATCCCTCAGCTCTCACGGAGATTCCCCAGCCCAGCACAGGGACCCCCAGCCCAGCACAGGGGTCCTGAGGCCAAGTCCCTCAGCTCTCACGGAGATTCCCCAGCCCAGCACAGAGACCCCCATCCCAGCGCGGGCACCCCAGCCCAGTACAGGGACCCCCAGCCCAGCATGGGAGCCCCAGCCCAGTATAGGGACCCCCAGCCCAGCATGGGAGCCCCAGCCCAGTACAGGGACCCCCAGCCCCGTGTGGGAGCCCCAGCCCAGTACAGGGACCCTCAGCCCAGCGTGGGAGCCCCAGCCCCAAGCCCCTCACTTACAACAGGGACCCCCAGCCCAGCTGAGCTTCCCTGCCCAGTGTGAGGGTCCCAGCCCCAAGCCCCTCAGCTCAGCACACGGACCCCCGGCCCATCCAAGCCCCCCAGCTCCATGTGGGGGTCCCAGCCTCGAGCTCCTCAGCCCAACACAGGGACCCCCCGCCCGGCCGAGCCCCCAGCCCCACACAGGGGCTCCCAGTCCAGCCAAGCCCCCCAGCCCCACATGGGGGTCCCAGCCCCTCGTCCCCAGCTCAGGACACGGGGGGCGAGGGCCGCCAGAAGCACCACTTGCTGCGGGGGTGCTGCTTGCGCTGGAGCTGCTCCTCGCGCTCCCGCTCCTTCTTGGAGCGCAGGTACAGATCCTCCTCCTTCAGGTACCACACCGGGGGCCAGCGGTGCCGCTCGAAGTGTGCCTGGTTCTCTGGGGGGGCAGCCCGGGGGTCAGGGCACGGCAGGGACACCCCCTGAGTCCCCCCGCGCCCTCCCGGCCCCTGTACCTGGGGACATGAACTTCATCTCGCGGGGGAAGCGGCGGCACACGCGGTTGTAGTTGGTGCAGATGTAGTGCAGGCACCACGCGGCCAGCTGGTGGGCGTTGTGGAACTGGGGGGGCACGGGGGAGTCACCCCACTGCCCGCGCTCCCCAGGGGTCCCCGTGCCCCCCGGGGATCTCCGTGCCCCCCAGCCCCCCGCACCTGCGTCATCTCCAGGTAGATGATGACCTGCTCGTCGATCTCCACGCGCTGCATGAAGGCTCGGAGCAGCTCGTCCACAGCGTATTGCTCTGGGGGGTGCGGGGTCAGGGGGGGCCACTCACTGGGGACGTGCCCCCTGGGTGAGCGGGGCCCCCCTGGGATTGCGTAAGGGCAGGGAATGACAGGCAGGGACGATCGATCCGGCCCCGCGGCACCGACAGCGCATTGGCAGGTGACGTCAGGGGACGCGGGGCCCGGGGGCGGGGGGGTCTCACCAGTGAGCGCCTGCAGCCGCGGCAGGCACAGCCGGTCCGTGAGGATGAGCAGCTCCATGGCGTCCAGGTCGGGCGTGGGGGTGAAGACCCCCGTGTAGAGGAAGTCGAGCACAGCGCGGAGGCAGGCGCAGTTGGTGCCGGGCAGGGACACCTGCGGCACCAGGGACGGGTTTGGCAGGGCTGGAGCCACCCCCGGGGGGGCTGGGGAAAGGAGGGACCCTCCCAGCAGTGCCTGACCTGGCACAGACCCCCGACCCAGAACGCCCACCCCACAACCCTGGCACAGAGCCACTGCTCTGGCACAGGCCCCCAGCCCTGATACAATCCCCCTCACTCAGAACAGCTTCCCCAGCCCCAACAGAGCCCCCCTGATCCAGCAGAGCCCCCCAGCCCTGGAATAGTCCCCCCAGACCCAGCACAGAACTCCCTGACCCAGCAGAGCCCCCCACTTTCTCCCCAGCAGAAGGGAAGCAGGACCCAGATGTATCAGGGCTTGGAGGGGTCCAAGCAGCCCCCAGATCCCACCCAAAGGTGCCCACCCTTCCAGCAGCCCCGTGGCAGAGCCTGTGGGTCCCCCCAGGTCCCCACCCCCTCAGCCCCCACCTCCTGGGCGTAGCTCTCGCGGAAGCCCCCCCGGAACATGGCCCTCATCCAGTCGCAGCCAGCGATGAGCAGCGGCTTGTGCGCCGGCACCACCCCGTCATCCACCCGGAACACCACGTCTGGGGACAGGGCACAGCTCAGGCAGGGACAGACCCCTCGGACACCACAGACCACGAACAGCCACCCCTCAGACACCCCTCGCCCACCCCAGCCTGGGGAGAGCCAACCCTTGGCCACCAGAGCCCCCCACTATGGGACAATCACCCCTTGGTCACCCCTGCCCAGAACTGTCAGCCCCAGACCCCCACAGCCCCACCCCATGACTGACTGTGACAAGGGCTCCAGGACCCCAGACCCCGGTGGCCTCAGTGGTGGGGGGGGATCAGGGTGACTGGAGCCCCGTGTCCAGGCCGGCACCACAGGAGGGGACACCGGCTGGAGGGGATGGAGCTGGGTGACCCCCTGTCCTCACAGCCCCCCCAGGCCCCCCGTACCAGCAAAGACGCCCTTGGCCAGGCACTCCTTGACGCGGTTGGCACGGCGCACGTGGAAGGCCTTGGTGATCTCCTGGTTCATGAAGCTCTCCTGGTTGAGCTCGTTGGCCACCATCATGCGCAGGTCGAACACCTCGAGCAGCTCGGCCACGGCGCCCACCTGGCGCAGGTCGGCGTGGGGCCGCTCCAGCCGCCCGGTGTACAGGTACTCCAGCACGGCGCGCAGCGGCTCCGGCCGCACGGCCCGGTCCATGGCCACCACCGCCATGCGCCGCGCCCGCCCCGCCGCCGGCTCCGCCACCTCCTCCCAGCGCAGGCTCAGGAACCCGCGGCCCCACCCCGACAGGTCGCGGGTGCCGCCGTCCCCCTGGCCGGAGGTGCCGGGCACCCCCTCCAGCGTGAACAGGTCGTAGAAGCGGGAGCAGGCGGTGGCCAGGAACACGCGGTGGGCGAAGACGCGGTGCCCGCCCTGCAGCTGGAACACGACGTCGGCGCAGAGCGGGGCCTGGAACAGCGCGGCCGGGCCCCCCCCCAGCCCGGGGGGTGCCTCGGGCACCTGGATGAGGGGCGGGGGGGGCTTGGGGGGCAGGAAGGGCGCCTGCAGCAGCGGGCGCTGCATCTTGCGCAGGTGGGACTTCCAGAACTGCAGGTGGCGGCGGGACACGAGCGCGGCGCGGATGGCGTTGTCAAAGACGTCCTTCACCCCGAACTGCGCCACCACGCTGGTCTCGTAGTACGGCACCCCCAGCTCCTGCGCCACCTCATGCCCCCGCTCCGGCGGCAGGATGTCCGAGGGCTTGATGGGCCTGTGGGGGCACGGACAGGGCAGGGGCTGGGGAGGCGGAGGAGCGGGTCCCAGGCATTGAGGGGGGGCATTGGGGGCCCCCAGGGAACACCCCAACCCAGGAGTACTGGGGAGGTAGGGGCTCTACCCCACAGGGGCTGTCAGGGGCCCCCGCCCAGGGGAGCTGGGGGAGATGCAGGCATGGGCAGGGATGCACCCTGACCTCTTAGTGGCAAAACTGGGGGTCCCCTGGGAAGCAGAGGGAGGGGTCCCCATTCCCATGGGATTGGCTGGCGTCGCCAGGGTGGCACACCAGGGGTTCCCTGTCCCTGTGGGGCTGGGGGTCCCAGCACTGGCGCACTGGGGGTGCCCAGGGTGGGTGGCCCGGGGGCTCACTTGGCCAGCGGCCGGCGCGCGCGGTTGACGGCGTCCAGGTCCGCGTAGCGCAGGTCCAGCTGGCAGCCCACCAGCACGATGGGCGTGCGGGGGCAGAAGTGCTTGATCTCAGGGTACCACATGGTCTTCACGTGCCGCAGCGAGTTGGGGTTTGCCAGCGAGAAGCAGAGCACCACCACGTCCGACCTGGGGGCACGAGCAGGACGGGGAGGGCAGCGCTGCCCCGGTGACACCCCAGTGTCACCCCATAGCCAGAAACACTGTCACCCTGCAGCTACAAACACCCCCTGCTCGGGGGGCACCATCCTGGGACACCTGTCACAGCCCCCAGCCTGGGACCCCCAGGAGCCCCACAGCCTTCAGGAGTCCCATGACCCCCTGAGAGTCCCCCACTGTTGACATGCCCCCCCTCCAGGGCACCCCAGCCATGGGAGCCCCACAGACCCCCAAGAGCCCCACGGCCAGGGAAGCCCCACGTTCCCCTGGGGGGTCCTAGAACACCCTGGGAGCCCCACAATGCCCAGAGGCCCCATGACCATGGGAACTCCACAGCCCCCAGGGCCCCATGAGAGGGGCAGTGAGGCCAAGGAAGGACCCAGTGGAACCTGGCTCCAGGTCACCCCGTCGGCCGAGCCATGGGCTGCCCTGGCTTGGGTCAGCACCGGGGAGGCCCGACCCCAGAGCACCCGCGGGGGGTCCCAGGGGGGATGGCCGGGTGGGTGCCAGCCCCTAGTACCAGTGACAGACCCTGCCCACTGCCCCCAGCCCCATCCCCGTGCCCATCATGGGACTGTCACAGTCCTCCCGGCCCCGGCTCGGGGGGTGCAAGGTGCCAGGGCGCATGGGGGGTTGCCAGGGGACACGGGGGGTTGCCAGGGGACGCAGGGCAGGTGCCAGAGAACACGGGGCGGGTGCCAGCACCCCCAAGTCCCTGCAGCAGCCGCGTGGCCCCGGGCCCGGGTTGTTTTTAGTCCGTGCTCGGCCGTGACGTGACCGGGAGGTGCCGCTGGAGCCGGGCCCGTGTCCCGGACCAAGATAGCCGTCACCGGCCCCCCCGGCCCCCGCCGTGCCGCGGGTTGATTAGCGGTGCCGCGGGGCTGGCGTGGGGCGGCGGCGATAAGAGCCCGGACGTGCCGGCGGCCACGGGGACCGGCTGTTTACAGCCCAGGGAACCGGGGGGAGGGCGCGGGGGGGCCCCTCCTACGGCCAGGTCGGCGTCCCCAGGGAAGGCTCCCGCACTCCAACAGCCCCCCAGAGCCGCCCCCCACCCTCAGCGCCGGGGGGGCCGCGAGCACCCGGGATCCCTGCTCGGGACGGGAGTTTGGGAGGTGCAGTGCTGGGGTCAGAGTACCCCCAAAACCATCCCCGGCAGGGAGTGGGGCAGTCCCATCCCCCCCTCGGAGGGTTTGGGTTCCGGAGCTGCTCTCTGGGCGGTGGCAGGAGCCCAAGGGGCTCCTTTGGCTCTGTGTGCCCTGGGTGGGAAGGGCTGGGGGGGTCGGGATGCCGCTGGGGGGGCTCGGGGTGCCGGTGGTGGGTCGGGGTCCCACCTGCCGTAGGCGAAGCGGCGGTCCTTGTGATGGTCCCCGAAGGTGTCCCAGAGGCGCAGGGAGACGCTGACCTCGTCCACCACATCGCGGGAGCGCTCCAGCACCTGCCGGCACCGGGACCGGCACCGGGATCGGCACCGAGAACGGCACCATCATCGACCGTCCTGCCCAGAACCCCCAGTAGCACCCCGCTATACTCCCGGTATCCCCTCCCGGTTCCCCCCGCGGTGTCCCTCCCGGTGCCCAGTGGCCCCTGGTTCCCCCCGCCCGCCCCGGTGCCCCTCAGTGCCCGGCGTCCTCCGGTAACCCCCCTCCCGCTGTCGCCCTGCCGGCGCCCGGCGGTGCGCGGTGCCGGCACCCCGCGGTGTCCGGCGGTGCCCGGCGGTGCCCCCGGCCCTCACCTCCTGGCAGACGCGGTACTGGTCGATGGCCCACACGGTGGGCACGTGCGTGGCCAGCAGCCGGTACTGGCTCAGCGTGGCGTTGCAGGCGCGGGCGCAGATCAGCCGCGTCTTGCCCACCGCGTTGTCTCCCACCACGACGCACTTGATGGTCTCGACGTTGGGGCGCTCGTAGTCCACGTCGGGGTCCATGGGGGCGCGGGGGTCCCCGCTCGGCGCCCCCGGCGCGGCCCCGACCCGGGCCCGGCCCGTTACCGACCCCCGCCTCCGCCCCCTCCCCGCCGCCCGCCCAATCAGCGCGCGGGGCCGCGGCACGCTCCCGCCCCGCCCCGCCCCGCCCCGCCAATCCCGCGCGGCACCGCCCGCCCGGCCACGCCCCCGCCGCCCCGCCCCGCGCGCGGACAAAGGAGCGCCGCCAGGGGGCGCCGCGCGCCACGTGACTGCACCGCCCCGATCGCGCCCACCGGGGTGGCCACGCCCACCGATGGGCGTGGTCACGGACACGCCCCTTTCGTGTTCCACGCCCACCGGGGGATCGCGGGGGGGGCGCGGGGGACCAGGACCGGCCACAGTGATGACACCAGTGACACCAGTGACACCAGTGACACCAGTGCAACAGCGACACCAGTGACACCAGTGGCAACAGCGACACCAACGACACCAGTGACACCAGTGCAACAGCGACACCAGTGACACCAGTGACAACAGCGACACCAACGACACCAGTGACACCAGTGCAACAGCGACACCAGTGACACCAGTGACACCAGTGACACCAGTGGCACCAGTGACACCAGTGGCACCAGTGACACCAGCGGCACAAGTAACACCAGTTACACCGGGGACACCAGTTACTTCAGTGATACCGGTGGAACCAGTGGCACCAGTGACAAATAACACCACTTACACCAGTGACACCAGCGACACCAGTAACAAATGGCACCAGTGAAACCAGTGGCACCAGCGACACCAGTTACACCAGTACCAGCAGTAACGCCACTGAGACCAGCAGCCCCGGTTACACCAGTAACACAAGTAATGCCGATAACACCAATCACACCAGTAAGGGCACTAGGACAGGCGGTGACAGGATGGGCCAGGCACTGGGCTGGGGGTGTCCCTGGGGCCAAGATCCCATTTCTCGGCATTTTTTCTCTCCCTGGGGGTTTGGGATTTTCCAGTCGCAGTGCCCAAATAAGGGAATGGCGGGAGAGGCTCCGGGACAGGGAGGGCGGACGGGGCGGGCCAGACACTGGGCTGGGGGTGTCCCCAGGGCCATGTTCACAGTCGGGTGAGGGGGTCCAGGGGCACCCTCAGCACCCCAAAATCCCCTTTTCTGGCACAATAAAGGAACTGAGGGAGGGGCTTCAGGAACAGCGGGAATGGACAGGGGGTAAGTGGGTCAGGATGAAGATGGGGACCCCTGCCTTGGGCTGGTGCTGGATCCTGGCACAGCACCCTCATCCCAGTGTGGGACCCTGGGACCTGGACCAACATCCCAGTCTGGGACTGTACACAGCACCCACATCCCAGTCCAGAATCCTGGCCCAGCATCCACATTCCAGTATGGAACCGTCATCCCAGCATAGGATCCTGACACAGCACCCTTATCCTAGTCTGGGACCCTCGTCCTCATGTGGGACCCTGGCACTGCACCCACATTCCAAAGCTGGGCTGGGCACAGCACCCACATCCCTGTCTGGGATCCTGGGACCTGCACCCATGTCCCAGAGCAGGAATCTGGTACAGCACCCTCATCCCAGTACGGGACCCTCATCCCAGTGCAGGACCCACATCCCACTACAGGACCTGCGTTCCAGTACAGGACCATCATCCCAGTTCGGGGACCTGTCCCAGCACCCGCGTCCCAGCGCTCCCAGCGCCGCCTGTCCCGTCCCATCCCGGTGCCTCCCGGCCGCTCCCGCCCCCGCCCCGCCCGGTGCCGCCCGTGGGCGGCGGAAGGTGCCGGGGGGGCGGCGGGGGAGGGAGGGGCGGGCGCAGGGCGGCGGCGGCGCCGGCCCCGGTTTCGGGATCGGCCCGGGCTCGGGATGGCGGGGCCGGGGCTGGAGCGCTACCGGCTGGCGCTGCTGGCGGCGCGGGAGGACGTGGGGAACCCCCGCGCTGCCACCGACTGGTGAGACTGGGGGCGGGGAGGACCGGGAATGGGGACCGGGACCGGGAATGGGGAGCGGGAACGGGGACGGGAATGGGGAATCGGCGCCGGGAATGGGGACGGAAGACGGGGCTGGGACCGGGAATTGGCAGTAGGCACCTGGACCAGGAACCGGGAGCAGGAAAGGGCACTGGCAGGGGTCAGGGCGGCGGGGGCGGTCCGAGAGGCACCGTTACCGGCACCGGGACGGAGATCCGGGGAGCACCGGGGTCCCGGCCGAGGAGTACAGGCCCGACGGGGAGGTCCTGGGCCTGAGGCCCCCCCCCGCTGCCGTGCTGGAAACCGGGACACACGCCCGGTCCCGTCCCGTCCCGTCCCGTCCCGCCCGGTCCCTCCCGGTGCCGCCGGGCTGGGAGCGGCGCCGCCACCTGGGGAGGGGGCAGGGCGGGCACGAGGGAGGCTGCGGGGCCGGAGGGGCACCCCGGGGTCCTGGAGAGTGGGCCCTGCCCCGCTGCACCGGGCAAAAATGGGTCCTGGGACCGTCCCGCGCCGGTGGTCCCGGGACGACCCCACACCAGTGCCGGTGCTGAGGGGCTGGAGCCGGTGTCCCCCAAAGCCCCCACCCCAAGAGGGGGAGTGACGGCCCCGGGACTGCGCCGGCCCCGCAGCCCCCCGGCGTCACGGGGCCGCCCGTCACCGTGGCCACCGGCCGCCCGGGCACTGCACTCTGCCCCGGGAGTGCGGCTGGACCCGCTCCAGCGCCGGCTCCTACCGGCGCCCGCCCGCCCGCGTGCGGGGCCCTGTCCCGCCATGTGACGCCACAGCCTGTCGCGACATGCCGTGACACGCGTGACATGCCGTGCCGCGCTCCACGCGTGCTCCCGGGGCCGTGCCGAGCCGTGTCTCGCGTGCGCCCGAAACCGGAGCCACGCGGAGACAAAGGCGGGCAGAGCCCTGGGAGTGCCGGGGGATGAGAGTCCCTTCGCGATGGGGCCCCCGGAGCCCCCCCAGCGCCGAGAGGGGTCCCGGACTGCGGAGGCGGGGGGGGTTGAGGGGGCCGTGTCGCTCCGGCGCTTCCCACATTCCCATTGTCCCGGGGGCGGATGCTGCCGGCGGTACTTCCATGAATTCATCCTGGGCTGGTGGCATGGGGGAACGCGGCGGGTGCCCCAGGCTGGCAGGTCTCCCTTGTGGGACCCCCACCCTGACCCCCCACCTTGACCTCGCCCCCCCAGGGCCGTCTTCGGCTATGAGAAGCACCACGACCTCAAGCTCCTGGATTCCGGAGGTACCGGGAGCGATGCTTCTGGGGAGATACTGGGGGTCCCTCATGTCCCCATGTCCCCCCTGACGCACCCTCCTTGCAGCTGGGGGGCCGGATGAGCTCGCTGGAAAATTCTCCGCCAGCAGCGTCATGTACGGGCTGTGCCGGGTCCCCGATCCCGGCACCGGCACCCCCCGGATCGTCCTCATCAGCTGGGTGAGTGTGCGGGAGGAGGCTTGGGGGCACCCCTGGATGGGACCCCCCGTGCTGAGTGGTGGGTGCGTTGCCAGGTGGGGGAGAAGGTGCCGGAATCGCATCGAGCGGAGCGTGCAGGGCACCTGCCGGCCATCCGGAGCTTCTTCAGGGTGAGCGAGGGGCGCGGTGCCCCCGGGGGGCTCAGAGGTGCTGTGGGGGTCTCCACCCTCCCCTGTCCCCCATTCCTTCCCCCTCTAACCCCCCCATCTCGCCGCCCCGACCTTTGCCTGTGCCCGGGCGCATTCCTGGCGCTGCTGACTCAGCCGCCGCGTTCCCAGTGCTCCCAGTCTTGGCCACGGCGCCGGAGCTGTGGTTGGGATCCCTGCCCCCCCGCCAATCCGTCCTGACGGGGAGGGTCCTGCCCTCCCCATCCTCCCAGCCCAGCTTCCGGAGATCCGCCTGGGCCTGGGATCTGGATCCAGTCCCACATCTGGGTACGGCCTCACATCTGGATCCATCCCCACATCCGACACATCCAAGGGAATGGCGCCTGGATTCCCCGGGAAGCTGCGAATCCCTGCAGGGGGTGGGGGTGCAGGGGAGTCTGTGGGTGTCGGGGGGGTGACGCAGTCCCGTCCTGGTGACAGGAGGCCACGGCCCTGGTCAGCGCCCGCCACCCCGAGGACGTGACGCTGGAGGGGCTGCGCCGGGCGCTGGCACAGCTGGAGCCCCCCGCCCCCCGCGCCCCCAGGAGGGGAACCCTCCCGGACATCCCGGAGCTGGTGGTGAGTGGGGGTCTCGGAGGGAGAGATGGGGAGGGCACCCGGTGGGCGATGGGGACTCACCCACCCTTCCTGGGGGGTCCCTGGGCAGGCCGTGCCGGGGGGTGTTGAGGGGTGCCGGGGGTCCCACCCTGACCCCCCCTGTGCTCCCCAGGGAACCAACTACCGCAAGACCAACCCGGCGCTGGAGATCCAGCGCACCCAGCGCCATTCCTTCTGGGAACAGGCCGAGGTGGGGGCCGCGGGCCGCTGGGAAGGGGCTGGAGGGTCCCCAGGGTGCCCCGGGGATGGAGCCACGGCTGATGCCTCAGGCCAGGGGGCTGAGCCCAGGGGTCCCAGTGCTGAGCTTGGTGGGGGTCTCAGTCACGGTGTGGAGTGTAGTGGGGTCCCAGTGCCCAGTGTGGGGGGGTTCCCAGTCCTGGTGCCGAGGCTGGGGGGGTCCCGGTCCCAGTGGCAGTTCCTGTGCGGTTGCCCGTGGCGGTGGGGTCCCGGTGCCGCGGTCACGGGGTTCCCGGTGCCGCTGGGGGTCCCGGTGCCGGTTGCCGGTGCCGGTGCCGGTCCCGGTGCCGCGGTCACGGGGTTCCCGGTGCCGCTGGGGGTCCCGGTGCCGGTTGCCGGTGCCGATCCCGCTGTGGGCGCAGCGGGAGGAGCAGCAGCGGAAGGAGGAGGAGCGGCGGCGGGAGCGGGAGCAGCGGCGGCGCTGGGAGAAGGAGCGCTTGGAGGAGGAGCGGCGCGGGGCCGCGGAGCGGGAGCGGCGGCTGCAGGAGCGGGAGCGGCTCATCGAGGAGCGGCGGTGAGGAGCAGCGTGGGGCCCCAGCCGTGTCCCACCCCCGTGTCCCATCCGCCACCCCCACGTCCCCATGCCCACCTCCCGTCCCTGTGTCCCATCCCCGTGTCCCGAGCACGGAGCCCCCAGCCGGCCCCCCTGACCCCCCTCTCGGCCCCGCAGGCAGGAGCAGGCGCGGCTGGACGCGGAGGAGCGGAAGAAGGAGCAGGAGCGATGGGTGAGGGGGTGGGGGCCGGGAGGGGGGGGTCCTGGGGGAATCCGGAGGGATTGTCCTGGGAGATCCAGGGCCTCCATCCCAGCAGCATCCAGGGTGTCCATCCCAGGGGATCTGGGAAGATCTGTGGGGTCCATCTCAAGGGATTTGGGGGGGGTCAATCCTGAGGGATCAAGTTGGTCCATCCTGGAGGGAGACAGAGAGTCCGTCCCAGGGAGGTCTGGGACATCCGTTCTGAAGAGATCCAGGGGTCCCATCGCGGGGGGTTCCAGGCGTCCATCCTGGGGGATCTGAGGGGGTTCATCCCAGGGGATCTGGGGCATCCATCCTGCGGGATCCATCGGGTTAATCCCAGGGAATACAGGGAGTCTATTTCAGGGGCATCTTGGGTGGATCTATCCCGGAGGGATGTGAGGGCTCCATCCCAGCAGGACCAAGGGAGTCCCTCTCAGGGGATCCAGGGCTCCACCGCGGGGGATCCGTGGTTCCCATGGTCCCGGTGTCTCGCAGGAGCAGCAGCAGCGGGAGCACGAGGCGGCCGAGCGGGAGCGCAGGGCGAGCAGAGGGGGCAGCGGCACTGCGGCCGTGAGTGCTGGGACGGGTCCCACCCTGCCCCCGGCTCACAGGGACACTCAGTGCCCTGTCCCTGTGCCCCGTCCCTGTGCCCTGTCCCCGTTGACCCTCGATCCCACAGGAAGCCGCCATCCTCGTCTCGCAGCGCACCCAGAACCCCAGGGAATTCTTCCGGCAGCGGGAGCGCTCGGGGTCCACGTCCGGCCCCACCCTGCCCGGTGGCCCCCCCGGTAGGTGCCCCCATGGCGGGGTTGGGGGTTGCGGGGGGTGCCGAGGGTCCCTGCTGACCCCCCTTCCCGCAGGTGCCCGCCGGCCCTTCCTGCGGTACCAGCGCAGCCTGACGGAATCCGCCTTCATCTTCCGCCGGCCGGAGCCCCCAGACCCCCCCACCCGGCGTCTCCTGCGGGGCACCGCCCCCCAGCCCGGGCCGACCCCCTCCGCCCCTGCCCCCCAGCCCCGCGGGGACAGGGACCCCCCAGTGTGCCACCTTGGGGACCCCCACCAGCCCAGCTCAAGCAGGGTCCCCCCATGCCACCAGTCCTGTGGGGACAGGGACCCCCCAGTGTGCCACCACCGGGACCCCCATCAGCCCAGTGGGGAGTGGGACCCCTCCCTCTGCCACTCTGGGGACCCCCTCGAGCCCAGCCCGAGCAGGGTCTCCCCATGCCATCAGTCCTGTGGGGACAGGGACCCCCCAATGTGCCATCACCGGGCCCCCCCCCAGCCCTGCAGGGACAGGGACTCCTCCCTCTGTCACCCCAAGGAGCCCTCCCAGCTCTGTGGTGATGGGGACCCCCAAATGTGCCACCTCTGGGACCCCTCCCAGCCCCATGGGAACAGGGACCCCTCACTCCATCACCCTGGGGACCCCCCATTCTGTCACCACCAGGTCAAGATCCCCACCTGTCATGTCTGGGCCCCCCTTCAGCCCCCCCAGGATGGAGGTGCCCCCTGGCTCCCCTGGGTCGGGGTACCCTGACAGCACTTACGGGGTAGAGCCCTTGCCTCTCCCCAGCACTCCTGGTTTGGGGTCCCCCCCCAGACCCTCTCGGAATGAGGAAGTCCCCTCCCTGGACATTCCCCCCCTCCCCAGCCCCCTGGCACCCCCTGGATGAGGAGGGGCCTCCCCGGACACTCCCCCTCCCCAGCCCCCCTCCTGGGGCTCTCTGGGAGCCGCTGGACGAGGGGTCCCCAGCCCACAGGGGTGTCCCCAATACCCCCGGACAGGCCCCCCGCCTAGGCCCAGCCCCCTGCCTGATGCAGGACCCCAGGACTCGGGGAGCAATGGAATTGGGGGGCACGAGTGGGAGGCTGGGAGGCCCCTGGGAGCCGGGACCTGCCCAGGGACAGGTATGGGGGCAATGGGGGAGCCAGGAAGGCACTGGGGGCAATGGGGTCTGGGGGTCATGGGTGGTGAGGGGCTGTGGGACTGGGGGTGATGGGGGGCTGCGGGCAATGTGGGGCTGGGGGTGATGTGGGGGTCAGACTGGGGGGGTGCAGGTGGGGTCGGCCGGTTTTGGGGCTGGGGTGGCTCTGGCTGGAGAGGAATGGGGGGAACACATGACCCCAGGGCTGGTTCTGGGGGTCGGCGTGGGACTGGGGAGAGGGAGAACGGGGTGGGGTCCCCTGGGGAAGGGGATGGGCACAGCTGGGGATTGTGGGACCCCTCAGCCCCCCCCAATTTTTGCAGGGGGATGAGCCCAGCGAGAGCCTCGTCCTGCACAAAGCTACACCAGGTACCCCAAACCTTCCCCCACCAAACCTCCCCTAACCCCTCTCAGACCCCTCTGAGCTCACCCTCCTCTCCCCCCAGGCTTCGCCCTCCTGCTGGCCCGTGACACTCCCCACCCACCACTGCTGGGGGGTCCCAGCCCCCCCAAGGAGGACGAGGACCTCTCCCCCCACGCCGTGTAACCAGGGGGCCCAGCACTCCCTTTTGGGGGGCAGTTCCCCCTATGGCACCACAGCCTCCTCCCCACACATCACCCCCCCCAGCACAGCCCCCAGCCCTCCACTTGCACACCAATGAGCATCCTGGGGAGGGGGCAGCACCCCTGACCCCCCTGCCAATGGCAGCATGGGGGGGGGCACAGAACCCCTCCGTGGGCACAGGGACCCCCCCCCCCCAATCACACACAGCAGCTGTTAAATAAATTTTAATGCAAATTATTAATGCACATTATTAATGGGGGGGTGTCCTGCCGGGGGGGCTGCCCCCCCAGGTTAGAGGTGAGGGAAAGCAGAGCTGGGGGGGAGGTCCTGTGCCCCCCCCCCGGGTTAGACCCTGAGCACCCACCCTGGGGGGACCCCTGTACCCACTCCACAGTGGGGGGGTCCCCAGCACCCACCCTGGGGTGGGGGGAAGCCCCCACCCCCCTTTTTGGAGTTTAGCTCTGATCCCCCCAGCACAGAGGGGGCAGAAATTCCAGTTTCTCCCCAAAAAAGGAGCTGGGAGCCCCCAGCCCCCTGCCCCGACCCCCTGTGACATCAACCTCTCCCAGCCCCTGCAGGGGATGGTGGGGGGATCCATCCCCTGCCCCCCCCCCAGGTGCTGGAGGTCAGACCCGGGACTGGAGGGGCCTGGGGGGGTCCCGCTGGGGGGGTCCCGGGCTGCTGCTGCCGCTGCTGGAGGAGCTGGAGTGGGGGGGCCTGGGGGTGCCCCCCCGGCCCTTGAGGGTGCTGAGCCGGGCGTCCAGGGACAGGGTGCGGGGGCGGCCCCGCCGGGGGGGGCTGGGGCTGCGCAGGGGGGGCCCCTCGAACAGCGACAGCCACGGGGGCGGCCCCGGCGATCGGGGGCCCCCCCGGTGCCGCGTCAGGATGTCGGTCACCGCCGCGATGTCATCCGAGGGGTCAATAGCTGGGGGGGCAAAGGGGGGTCAGCAGCGCCCCCAGACCCCTCCTGGAGCCCCGTGGGGTGGGGGCTGCGAATGGTCCCCCCGTTATCCCAGCTCCCCTCAGTTCCCCAGAGGTGCCCCATGGCCCTCATAGGTGGGGGGGATGGGTCAGGGGTTCCCCCAGATGCCCCATTTTGCCCCTGCCATGGCCCCCCCAGGTGGGGGGGTGTCTCAGGGTCCTACAGTCACTCCCTCACCCCCCCAGTGCTGCCCCACAGCCCCCACAGGTTTTGGGGTTCTCGGGGGCCCTCCCAGTGCTGCCCCAAGGCCCCCGTGGGCTGGGGGGGGAGTCCCGGGGGTCTCTTTGCCATCCCCCGGGGTGCTGTGGTGGGGGGGTCTCTGCCCCCCGTGCCCCCCATCACCTGTCGCTGTAGTAGGAGCTGAGCAGCGCCCGGATCTCGGCTGAGACGTTCTCCTGCAGCAGGAGCCCCTCGCCCGGGGGGGAGCCGGGGGGGCCCGGCGGGGCTGGGGGCACCGGGGGTGGCAGAGCAGCAGGGAGGGGGGACAGAAAGGGGGGAACAGAGGAGGGGACAGAGAGGGGGACAGCAAGAAGAGAAGAGTGGCGTTAGGGAGCGAGCAGAGAGCAGAGAGGGGGAGACAGAGCAGAGCCCCTCCAGCCCGACCCTCCCGGCCCCCACCCACTCACCCGTTTGGTGGTAGAGGGAGCCCTGGGGGGGCAGCGGGGCCGGGGGGCGGCGTGGGGGGGGCTCCTCGATCCGCATCAGCTCTTCACAGCACTGCTTCCACTGGCCTGGGGGACAGGGGCAGTGGGGGGGCACAGCAGGGCATGGTGTGGGGCTTGCACGGGGATGGGGGTCCTCCTGGAATGGGGGTCCCATGGGAGGAGGGGTCCCGTGGGATAGAATCACCCCAGGATGGGGATTGCAGTGGGATAGGGTCCCACTAGGAATGGGGGCACAAAGTTGGGTGTGGTCCTGCAAAAAGGGAGGTGTCCCATTGGGATGATGGGGGTCCTGAAGGGGTGATGGGGGTCATGGGACCTGGTCGCACCAAGATGGGTTCCCATCAGGATGATGAGGGTCTCAGAGGGTTGGGAGTCCTGCAGGGGTGGAGAGATCCCACCAGGATGAAGGGTCCCATTGGGATGAGGGTCCTTCAGGACTGGGGGCTCCCACACATCTCAGGGGGGTCCCACATGGCTTGGGGAGATCCCACAGGGCTTGGGGGTCCTATAATGATGGGGGTCCCACCGGGACAGGGTCCCACTGGGATGGAGGGTCAGAGGCGGATGGGTGTCCCACAGGATGATGGGGGGTCCTGCAGGGCTGGGGGTCCCGGGGTCCTCACTCACCCAAGTCGTAGAGGTGCTGCTCGAAGGCCTCGAGCCAGCGCTGGGCCTCGGCCGTGCTCTCGGCCACCAGGGCGTGGGTCACCTCCTCCCCGCCCAGCCGGTTGGTGACAGCCACCACGGGGGGCTGCCCGCGCCCCCCCGGCTCCGCCCGCACCCGCGTGTCCTGCGGTGGGCAGAGCGCTTGGACCCCAGTCCCTGTGCCCCCAGAGCCCCCAAAGACCTCAACCCCCCAGCCCTCCACAGCCCTGAAATCCCTGTACCCACCACACCCCCCATGCCTCCTCTATCCCCCATAAACCCATGCTCCAGCCCCCCGTGCCCCCCGTGCCCCGTACCTTGGTGACGGCGATGGTGAGCGTGGGCTCCTGCCCGGCCTCGGCCTCGTGGGCGCTGCTGTAGCACAGCAGGTCGGGGCCACGCAGGACACAGAACAGAGGGGGCTCGCTCGGCCCCTCAGCCCCCGGCACCTGCCCAGGACCCCAGCACCGTCAGCACCCACAGCTGCCCACCCTGCCCCTGGCACCCACCCTGCCCCTGGCACGCACCCTGCCCCTGGCACCAGCCATGTCCGTGGCACCCACCCTGCCCCTGGCACCCACCCTGCCCCTGGCACCAACCATGTCCCCTCACACCCACCCTGCCCCTGGCACCCACCCCTGCCCCTGGCACCCACCCTGCCCCGGCACCAACCATGTCCCCTGGCACCCACCATGTCCCCCACACCCACCCTGCCCCAGGCACCCACCCTGCCCTGGCACCCACCATGTCCCCCACACCCACCCTGCCCCAGGCACCCACCCTGCCCCTGGCACCCACCATGTCCCCCACACCCACCCTGCCCCTGGCACCAACCATGTCCCCCACACCCACCCTGCCCCGGGCACCAGCCATGTCCCCTGGCACCCACCATGTCCCCCCACCCACCCTGCCCCTGGCACCCACCCTGCCCCTGGCACCAACCATGTTCCCACACCCACCCTGCCCCTGGCACCCACCCTGCCCTGGCACCAACCATGTTCCCCACACCCACCTTGCCCCTGGCACCAACCATGTCCCCTGGCACCAATCATGCCCCCACACCCACCCTGCCCCTGGCACCAACCATGTCCCCCGGCACCAACCATGTCCCCCAGCACAAACCATGTCCCCCCACGCCCACCGCACAGCCCCAGCCCCCTGAGACCCCCAGTCCCCATCCCCCAGCACAGGGATCCTCCCAGAGCCACTGGTGGGGACAGACAAGACCCTGCAGGCTTGTGCCACCTCCCGTCCTGTCCCCATCCCTGTCCCCATCCCCGACCCCATCCCCACCCTGTTCCCATTCTCATCCCATCCCAGCCTCCACTCGTTTCCCCAGTCCTGTCCCTGTTCTCATCCCTGTTCCACCTCTGTCCCACCCTTGTCCCTGTCCCCCATCCCAGTCCCATCCCATCCCTGACACCAACCCCTCCCTACCTCCCAACCTGGTCCCCTCTCACCTGCAGTCACAAGGGTATCAGAGGCAGGTGTGTCCATGCAGCCCCACATCCCTATATCCCACCCTGTACCCCATTCCCGATCCCATTCCCATCACCTGCAGCCGCAGGGGCCCGGTCGCTGCAGGGGTGTCCACACAGCGGGGTCTGGCGGCCAGGCGGCAGCACATGCGGCCATACAGGGGCACCCAGCAGGGGCTCTGCTCTGGGGGGGGACACGGGGGGTCACACCGACCCCAAACACACCCCAGACACACCCAGCAGGGGCTCTGCTCTGGGGGGTCACATGGGGGTCTTTGAGGGCTGGGAGGGATTTCCAAGCCCCAACGGGAGCCCAGATCCACTTCCCCACCATGCCAGGACCCCCAGACCCTCTCCCCATCAGTCCCAGCCCCACTGCCCATGCCACGGGGTGATGGGGGTGCCAAGGGGGGGTTCTGGGGGTGCTGTGGGGTGATGGGGGCACCGAGGGGGGATTTTGGGGGTGCTGTGGGGCCCCACTGACCGTCGGCGGCGATGACGAGGTCGTGGGTGCGGAAGCCGTCGTGCACCTGGGCCAGGGACAGGGCAGCGTGTGCCAGGAGCTGGAACCGGGGGCACCTGGGGGCAGGGGGTCAGGGTGCTGGGGACACAGAGGGCCGGGGGCACGGGGACAGGGGCACGGGGGTCTCGGGGTACTCACGGGACACCGGGGGGGGGCAGCAGCAGGGCCCCGGTGCCGGCGGTGCCCGGGGGGCTGCCCAGCCCCCCCTCGAGGGCCGCCCGTGCCCGGCGCCCGCCCGAGCGGCCCAGGAGGTGCTGAGACGCGTGGCCAGCTTTTTGGGGGTGCTGCCCTGGGCCCCTCCTCCGGGCAGCCCCGCGCTGTACAGCTCCACCTTCAGCTCAAAGTCAGGGCCCGCCTCCGAGCTGGGGGGCACAGGGGGGTCAGTGGGGGGGACACCCTCACAGACACCCCACAGACACCCCACGGACTGCAGAGACCCTTAGGGGGGTCAGGGAGGGGGCCCCAGGGGATGGGGGCGCAGGATCCTCCCAAGGGGTGTAGGGGTCCCTGGGGGTGACGGGGGGTGAGGGTGGACAGGGGTCCCCAGAGGAGGGAAGGGGTCCCTTGGAGGGGTTGGGGGGGGCAGAAATCGCTGGTGTGGGTGTGTGTGGGGGGGACAGGGGTCCCCAGGGAGGGGGCAGAGGAGGGTTTGGATACCCCCAAAGTGGTCAGTGGTCCCCAGAGGGGGATCAAGGGTCCCCTGGAGGGGCCAAGGGATAGCAGGGGTCCCCCGGAGGATTTGGTGTTAGCAGGGGTGCCTGGGGGGGGGGGTCAGTGTGGTCAGGGGTCCCGTAGGGGGGTCAGGTGTCCCATAGGGTGTGCAGGGGTGTCGGGGGTCCCGTGCCCCCCCTCACAAGAGCACAGCTCCCTCGAAGCAGATGTCGGTGAGGGTCCTGTCCACCAGCACCGTGGGGGTGTCGTGGATCTCGGCCCCCACCTGCAGCAGCAGGAACACGGCACAGCGGTGCAGCTCTGGGGACAAAGGGGGTCTCGGGGGTCAGTGGGGTTGGGGGGTCACAGGGGGTCAGGGGGCAGTCAGGGCGATCTCGGCCCCCACCCACAGCAGCAGGAACACGGCACAGAGGTGCAGGTGGGGGGGCAGAGGGGGAGCCAGGGGGGCACAGGGGGACCAGGAGGGTCACAGGGGGTCAGGGGAGTCAGTGGGAAAGGAGGGACCCCAAGCACCACGGCACTCACCCCCCTTGTTCCTGAAGTACTCGGTGTCCTTCCACATCAGCGGGATGCGCAGGTCTGGGGGAGCAGGAGGGGGATGAGACCCCTTGGGACCCCCACAAAGACCCCAGGCTCTGTGCCTGGGATGCAGACAGCCCCCCGGGAGGGGGTTGCTGGGATGGGGTCCCCCGTACCTGAGATGCAGACGGTGCCCCTGCACGGCACCCGCTCGGCCCCGGGTCCGGCGTCCGAGGGGCTGTGGGGGACAGGGGTCAGTGCAGCCCCTCCTGCCCTCTGGAGTCCCTCATGCTCCCCCCAGGTTTGGGATCCCCATTCCCCCCAGGTTTTGGGGGTCTTTCCCCCAGCCACACCCCTCAATGGGGTCCCCAGTGCCCCCCACTTTTCAGAGTCCCACATTCCCACCCCAGGTTTTGGGGGTCCCGTCACCACCACGCTCCCCAAAGATCCCCCATTCCCCCTGCAGTTTTGGGCCCCCTCAAGTCCTCCCCCTCAGCCAGGGTGGGTCCCCCATTCCTCCCACGTTCGTGAGTCCCGCGGGGTCCCCGAGCGTCCCACCCCATTTTTGGGGTCCCTCACCGTCGGGCCCCCCTCAGCCGGGCCTCCTGGCGCCGCTGCAGCTCCCCCCCCGCCGCCACCACCCTGGCATCGCACAGCACGAGGGTCTTGGTGGTCTCCAGGGCCTGCTCGGGGCGGCTGCAGGCGGGGAGGAGCCTCCGGGCCCCCTCCCGCACCCGCAGTGCCCGCTCCAGCGCCCGCTGCAGCTCCGGCTCCTGCAACCCGAACGGGGGCTCTCATGGGGGGCTCGGGGGGCTCAGGAGGGGCTCAGGGGGCTCGAGGCTCAGGGGGCTCAGGGGGCTCAGGGGGGCTCAGAGGGGGCTCAGGGGGGCTCAGGGGGCTCAGGGGGCTCAGGGGGCTCAGGGGGGCTCAGGGGGCTCAGGGGGCTCAGGGGGGCTCAGGGGGCTCAGGGGGCTCAGGGGGGGCTCGGGGGGTGGCTCAGGGGCTCTCCAGCACCTGCTGCAGCTCCAGCTGCTGGAATGGGCACACTGGGGTCAGGGAGCTCAGGGCCCCTCCTGTACCCATTCCTGGGAATAGGGCACGGGGAAATCGAGGGGCTGGGGGGCCCAGGCACCACCTGCACCCCTGGGGGTCCCAGCCCTGCCCTCCTGGGGGTCCCAGTCATGTAGCCTGTGGATCCATCATGTCCCACACAGGGGAATCACATACCCCACTGACCACCCACACCCTCGGAGGTGCCACAGCCCCCAAATACATGGTGTACCCCTTGGGGGAATGACGAACCCCATGGGTACCCCAGAGCAGGGCCACAAACACATCCAGTGCCCCACAGCTGTGCCATGAACCCCAGACATGTGCCACGCACCCCCCAAACACACCCTGCCCCCCACAGCAGAGCCACGGGCCCCACTGACCCACCATGCACCCCACAGGGCAGTGATGCACCCCACAGACATACCACGTACCCCGCAGCAGAGCCACACACCCCACAGATCCATCCTGTACCCCACGGGGGAACCAGGCACCCCATGGACACACCACACACCCCACAGATGTGCCAAACGCCCCACAGATCCATCCTGTACCCCACGGGGGAACCAGGCACCCCATGGACGCACCACACACCCCACAGGTGTGCCACACACCCCACAGATTTCCCTGCCACCCCCCAGATGTGCCAAACACCCCCCCCAGGGGAATGATGTACCCCATGGATGCACCACTGCCCCCACAGACACACTGTGCACCCCATAACGGAGCCTTGTGTCCCACAGATCCATTGTGCACCCCATGGGGAAACTGGGCACCCCAAAGACAGGCCGTGCACCCCACAGCAGAGCCATGCACCCCACAAACTCATCCTGCACCCCATGGAGAAACCACACCCCCCAAAGCCGGACCACACATCCCTCACGCACCCTACAGCAGAGCCACCCACCCCAGAGGGCTCCTGTGCACCCCACGAGAACATCCTGCACCCCACATGGAAGCCACACACCCCACAGACCCATCGTGCACCTCACCCATGCGCCACACACCCCACAAACACCTCATGCACCCTACAGATTTATCAGGCACCCCACGGAGAAACTGGGGACCCAAAGACACACCACGCACCCCACAGATGTGCCACATGCCCCATAAATTTACCACACCCCCCACAGGAAATTCACATAGCCCACGACTGTGCCACGCACCCCACAGATCTGTCCTGCACCCCACAGACACATCCTGCGCCCCACAGACAGATCCTGCACCCCATAGATTTACTGTGCACCCCACAGATCCATCCTGCACCCCATAGATTTACTGTGCACCCCACAAACACATCCTGTGCTCCACAGATCCATCCTGCACTCCACAGATTTACTGTGCACCCCACAGATTTACTGTGGAGCCCACAGATTTACTGTGCACCCCAAAAACACATCCTGCACCCCACAGATGCATCCTGCACCCCACAGATTTACTGTGGACCCCACAAACACATCCTGCACCCCATAAACACATCCTGCACCCCACAGACACCCCACGTGCCCCACAGACCCACCGCGCACCCCCCCCCTTAAATTCACCACACACCCCCCCACCAATACCCCCAAATTACCGGGCACGACCCCCGGCCCCCAAACTCCTTCCCGGTACCTCCTGCTCCTCCATCCCGATCCCGATCCCGATCCCGATCCCGCCCCCTGTTCCCCCCTCCCCAGTGACGTCATCACCTATAAATAACACACCCCCCCAGCGGGAAACAGGGGGAGGGCGGGAGCACCCCCCCCCCAACACCACATCCCCCAAAATCCCCCCTCTCGTTGTTTTTTGGGGGTGAATCCCATGGGATGAGGAGCGCGCTCATCATCCTGGGACTACGACCCTCGGACCCCCGGACCCCGGGGAAACCCGGGGTCCGGGGGTCCAGGGGGTCGTGGGGATCCCGGATTGGGGGTAAATGGGCTGGAGGGGGGTTATGCCCCCCAAAATTCCCACCTGGATGCTGGCGGCGATCTGGCGGATGTAGAGCATGTTGAGATCCTCCAGGATCCGCAGCCGGCGGCCCCCCCCCACCTCCATCGGGACCCCCGGGACCCCCCCAGCTATTCCGGGGTCCCCGAAGCCCCCAGGGGGTCCCGCCGCATCCAGCGCTGGGGGTGTGGCGGGGCGCTCCCTCCACCTCCCTCTCTGCGAGGTGGCTGCGGGGAGAGAAGGGGCTTTTTATGGCCCTTCCCACGGGGATTTTGGGGCGGGGTGGGGGGGTGTTCCCCCACGTTGTTTGCTCCCTCTGGAATCTCCCGGGGGGGGACCTCGACGTTCTTTGCCCCCCTGGAATCGCCGCCCCCTCCCAGGGAACAAGGGGGGGACTGTGCGGGAAAGGGCAGCGGGGGCGGGACGGGGTTTGGGATGGTGGGTAGGGGTGGGTCGGGTTTGGGGGGTCAAAAGGGGCAGGATTTGAAGGGGGCGAGGGGCAGGAGGTTTGGGGTGGGGACAGGGTTTGGGGTGCAGGGAAAGGAGAAAGGGGGCGGGGAGGGTGCAGGGGACAAGATGGGGGGGCAAAGGATGGGGAACAGGAGGCAGGACGGGGAGCAGGGACAGGGTTTGGGGTGCAGGGACAGGATTTGGAGTGCAGGGACTGGGTGCAGGGTTTAGGGCGCAGGGACAGGGTTTGGGGTGCAGGGACTGGGTGCAGGGTTTGGGGTGCAGGGACAGGGTTTGGGGTGCAGGGATAGGGTTTGGGGTACAGGGACGGGGTTTGAGGTGCAGGGACGGGGTTTGGGATGCAGGGACGGGGTTTGGGGTGCAGGGATGGAGTAAGGGGTGCAGGGACAGGGTTTGGGATGCAGGGACGGGGTTTGAGGTGCAGGGACGGGGTTTGGGATGCAGGGATGGGGTTTGGGGTGCAGGGATGGAGTAAGGGGTGCAGGGTTTGGGGTGCAGGGACTGGGTGCAGGGTTTGGGGTGCAGGGACAGGATAAGGGGGGAAGGATGGTGTGCAGGGTGTGGGGACAGGACAGGGTAGGGTTTGGGTTGCAGGGAACGGGGTGCAGGAGGCAAAATGGGGTGCAGGGAAGGGGGGACAGCGATAGGATGCAGTGAAGGGTTTGAGGCGAAGGGCTTGGGTTGCAGAGTTCGGGGACAAGAGAAGGGGTGGGGAAAACGGGGCGCAGGAGACAAGATGGAGTGTGGGGGTGGGGAAAGGGGCGAGGGTTTTGGGGGTAGAGGAGGGGTGACGGGGACAGGGAGACGGAGGGTGCAGGGGACGAGATGGGGTGCAGGGGACGTTGTCCAGGATGGGGTTTGGGGCGTAGGATTTGGGGTCCACAGAGGGGATAGGGGGTGTAGGGGACGAGGTGGGCTGAGGGTTTAGGGTGCAGGGGAGGGAGGGACGAGGTGGGGTGCAGGGAGGGGTGCAAGGAGAGGATGGGGTGCGGGGTTTGGGGTGCAGGGACAGGACGTGGTGCAGGGAGACGATAAGGGGCGCAGGGGACGGGATGAGGTGCCGGGTTTGGGGTGCAGGGGACGGGACACGGGACAGGGGGTGCAGGGATAGGACGGGGTGCAAGGTTCGCGGCGCGGGGGAGGGACAAGGGGTGCCGGGGTCAGGGTGCAGAGACGGGGGTGGCGGGGACAGGAAAAGGGGGACACAATGGATGGGAGGTGTGGGAACAGGGCACCGGGAACGGCAGCCGGGGAGAGGGGGTGCGGAGGAGTGGGTGGACGGGGTCGCGGGCGCGGTCCCGGACGGGGAGGAGGACACGGGGTACCGGTAGGGACCGGCACCGGGACCCCGTCCCCCTCCCGCACCCCCGCGCGGTGCAGCACTGCCCCCATTCCCGGTACCTCCGGCCGCTCCCGCTCCGCCGCGATCGCGCACAGGAAGCGGCGGCCGCCCCGCCCCACGTCCCGCCCCGTGTCCCCCTCCCCGTGCCCCCTCTTCTTCTCCAGGAGCCGCCTCCGTGTCCCCCTCGCCCCCCCTGCGGCGGCTCCGGGACACCGGGAACGGGCGGGGGCGCTCTGGCGGGGGAAATGGGGGACGGCGGGGCAGGACCCCCGAGGGAAGCTGGGACCCCTCAACTGAACCCGGATCCCCCGTGTGCAACTGGTACCGGGGCTGGGACCCCCAGTGCGCCGGGACACCCCGAGAGAACAGAGACCCTCCCGAGGTCACTGGAAATCCCCAGTATGTACCAGGACCCCCAGTATGCACCAGGATCCCCTGTATAGACCGGAATCCCCACCACAGTGCAACCGGATCCCCACGTGCAGCGGGACCCCCCAAAATGTACTGAACCCCTCCACACCTCGTCTGCACCAGGATCCCCCGATACGCACCAGGACCCCCAAATACACTGAGACATCCCCCCCACTATGTACTGGGACGCCCCCGAGGGGACTGGAGCCCCGCCCCGTGCAGCGGGACCCCTGCCCGAGTGCATCAAGATCCCCCCAGGGATTTAGGACCCCCACAGATGCATCGGGACCCCACCGTGTGCGGTTGGTTCCGGGGAACCGGCACCACCCTCCAATATGCGCTGGGACCCCTTTGTGTGCACCAAGACCCCCCCAAGTGCAGCGGGTACTGGGTGGCTGGGAACCCCCCTATGCATCAGGACTCCCCCAAAGGCGCTGGGACCCCCAAGAGCAGATGGTTTTGAGTGAATCAGGACCCCTCGGATGCACCGGGACCCTCTCACTCGCCCGGCCTCCCCCCCACACGCCAGGACCCCCCCGTCTGCACCAAGACCCCGCAGGTGCCCCGTGCCCCCACCCCGTCCCCCACTCATGCCCCGTGTGCTCTCCCTGCCCCGGCACCACCCCCACCTTGGGGTCCCCCAGCCCCTGTCCCATTCCCGGATCCCCAGTCCCTCCCAGTCCGCCCAGTCCTCCCAGTCCCCCGCGCCCCTCCCGTCGGGTGCCGGGGGCACGGGCGATTCCCGCTGTGCCGGATCCCACTGGAATTCCCGGCTGGGCCGGGACAGCGGGACGGGCCGGGGGGGCCGGCGGGCAGGGAGAGGCGCGGCCGCCCCGCGGGCTCGTGCCCGGGCTCCCGGTGCCCCCGTACCTGCGGGGCCGGGTCGGGGGGGCGGCAGCGGCCCCGGCGCAGCTCCATGTCCAGCGCCGACCCCCGCGCCACGGTGGCGCGGCTGCGCTGGTCCCGCCGGAACATGGGCGGGGGGCCGGGGCGGCCCGGGGGGGCCGGAGGGGTCCCGGTGCTCCGCGGGGTCCTGGCGGTCCCGGGGGTCTCGGTGCTCTGCAGGGCCCGGGGTGTTGCGGGGAGTCCTGGGGTTTAGAGGCTGCCAGTGGTCCGGGGGAGGGGTCCGCGCTCCGAGGGGTCCCGGGGGGTCCCGAGGTCTGAGTAGTGCGGGAGGTTTCAGCGTCACGGTGCTCCGGGGGTCCCAGATGGTCCGGAGCCTTCCGGGAGGTCCCGGTGCTCCGGGGGAAGCCAAGGGTGGTCCCGGGGGCCGGAGCCTTCGGGGGGTTCCGCGGAGCACGTAGGACAGGTGGGACACGCCGGGATGCACCGGGACACACCCGGGGACACCGGGAGACCCAGGGGCCGTCACTCCCTGCTCGCACGGCTCCGCACGGCCCCGCACGGCCCCGCACGGCCCCGGGATCCCGCAGGGGCGGGGGCGGCGATCGGTGCCGGCGGCTCCTGGCACCGGCGGGACAATGGCGGGACAGGGCTGTGACATCTGTGTGTGTGTGACACTTCTGTGTGTGCACGTGTGTTGTGAACACGTGAGAGTGCACAGGGCACGAACACACACACACACAGAAGTGTCACACACACACGGATGTCACACACACACACACACACACACACACACAGAGGTTTCTCTCACACACACACACACACACACACACACAGAAGTGTCACACACACGCACGGATGTCACACACACACACACACACGTGTACCCCCACACATGTGAAATGTGCACTTGTGTGGCCACAGCTCACACTGGACAGTGTCTGTGAGCGCACACAGGTGCACAGCACACACGTGTGCCCTGTTCACACACACCTGTGCACTCACACATATCTGTGCACTCACACCTGTGCTCACACACACCTGCCCCGCACTCACTCACACACCTGCGCACACACCTGCACGCTCACACCTGTGCACTCACACCTGTACATTCACACACCTGCATGCTCACACCTGTGCACTCACACCTGTGCACTCACACCTGTGCATTCACACCTGTACATTCACACACCTGTGCCCTCACTCACACCTGTACCCTCACTCACACCTGTGTGCTCACACCTGTGCCCTCACTCACACCTGTACCCTCACTCACACCTGTGCCCCCACAGGTTTGCGGCCCTGATGGCCGGAGCCACGGTTTCCCCGGCCGGGCCTGGCTGCCCGGTTCAAAGATGGCGGGGGCAGCGTCTCCCCCCTCAGCGGTGGCGGGCGGGCGGCAGAGAGTGAGGGCGGAAGCGGGTCCGCCACCAATCGTGTCCCCCGCGCTCGGATGCGCAGGGCCTGGCGCGGCGCGATGGAGGCCGGGCACGGTGAGAGCGGGGAGGCTCGGGGGGCCCGGGGGACACCGAGGGGCTGCGGGGCCGCTCCCGGCGGGGCAGGGCCCGCGGGGGCCCGCGCTGATCCCCTGTTCCCCCGCAGGGCAGGAGGCCGAGGCGGGCGGCCACGGCGGCCACAAGAAGAAGCATAAGAAGCACAAGAAGAAGCACAAGAAGCGGCACCACCACGAGGCGGGGCCGCCCCCTGGCCCCGAACCCCCCCGGCAGCCCCGGCTGCGGCTCCGCATCAAGCTAGGGGGGCAGATCCTGGGCACCAAGAGGTGGGGGCGGAAGGGGACGATGGGGGGCTTCGGAGGGTCTGGGGACAGATCCTGGGCACCAAGAGGTGGGGCGAGCTGGGGGTTCGAGGGTTCGGGCCAGATCCTGGGCACCAAGAGGTGCAGGAGGAGGGAAGGCTGGGCCGGGCTGGGTGGCGTGTCCCACCCTCCCCGGCCCCCCCAGCCTCCTCTCTCCCCCTGCAGTGTCCCCACGTTCACGGTGGTCCCCGAGGGGCCGCGCTCCCCCTCCCCGCTGCTGGGGGCGGACGAGGAGGAGCCCAGCGAGGGGGTCCCCATCGAGCAGTACCGGGCCTGGCTGGGTGAGCACGGGGGGCACACGGGGGGCTCACGGGGGATGGGCTGGGGAGGGTAAGGGCAGCCCCTGGGGGGCTGAGGTGGGGGGGATGCTCTGGACCCCTGTCGTGGCTCGGGGACAGAGTGACCCTGGCACAGGGTGACCCCCTACCTGTGTGACTGTCCCCCCCCGGCTCCCCCAGATGAGGACAGCAACCTGGCCCCCTCCCCTCTGCCTGAGCTGGACCCAGAGAGCTGCTTCCCCCACCGTGAGGAGGGGGAGGAGGAGGAGGAAGAGGAGGAGGAGGAGGAGCGGCGCTGGCTCGCGGCCCTTGAGCGAGGCGAGCTGGACGACAACGGGGACATCAAGAGGGAGGTGGACGAGTCCCTGCTGACAGCCCGGCAGGTGTGGGGGGCTGGGACAGGGCTGGGGTGCTCTGGTTGTTTTGGGGGCCTGGAACTATTGGGGGCTTGGCTAGGGGTGGGTCTATTGTGGAGCTGCTGGGACAGGAGTGAGGGGAACTGGGAGGGGCAGGGAGCCTTTGGGATGGAGCTGAGAGAGGGGAGCTGTGGAGCCCCTGAGGGGTGCTGGGGCTGGGCTGAAGGGGGCTGGGGGGCCATAGGGCTGCTGGGACAGGGCTGAGGGGGGTCCAGGGAGGGCATGGAGTCACTGAGGAGGGACTGGGGGGGATGTAGAGGCACCAGGGACGGGGCTGGGGTGGCTGCAGGGACCCCAGAAGTGGTGTGGGGCTGGGCTGTGGCCCTAGGGGAGCTGTGGGGGGGTCCCCTCGAGGGCCCCGCCTGGATCCCGTGCCCCCCCTGACGCCCCCGTGGCCCCCAGCGTGCCCTCCTGCACAAGCAGCAGAGCCAGCCCCTGCTGCAGCTGCCCATGGGAGCCAAGGCCAAGGAGGTGACGGAGGAGATGCGGGAGAAGCGGGAGGAGCGGGCGCGGCGCCGGCGGCTGCAGGCGGCCCGCAAGGCCGAGGAGAGCAAGAACCAGACCATCGAGCGCCTCACGCGCACCCACAAGGCCAAGGTGAGGGCCCTGCGCGAGCGCCGCGCCCGCCCCGCGCCCTGCCCCGTCGTGCACTACCACAGCTCCGCCCAGGGCGTCACCCTGTCCTTCCCCCCGGGGCTGCCCCTGCCCCTGCCCCCCGCCACGGCCCCGCCGGTGCCCGCCCCCCAGCCCTGCGCCGTGCCCGGCTGCACCAACGCCCGGCGCTACCGCTGCGCCCGCACCGGGCGGCCCCTCTGCAGCCTGGGCTGCTACCGGCGCAACCTGCAGCTGCTGCAGAGCCCGGGCTGAGCCCTGCCCTGGCTGCAGGGGCCCCGAGCCTCCCCCTGGACGGCGGACAGCGGCAGGGGGGCCGTGGATCCTGCCCGGGGGCACCCGGGAGCGGGACGGCCCACCCGCTGCAGCCTGGGCGGTACCTGCAGGTGCTGCAGCCCTGGGGTCACCCCCGGGGGGCTGTGCACCCACCCCACCGACACAGAGGGCCAGAAAGGGGAAAGCACCCGCTCAGCACAGACACAGGCGGGTTCCAGGGAGCTCTGGATTCTCCACCTGGAGACAGAAGGCCAGAAGAGGAGGCTCCAGGCCCTGCACCGCAGACCTGCGTGGACTGTGGGGTGCTCCATCCCCTCCCCATGGACACAGAGGGGCAGAACGGGGGGCTGAGCACCTTCTGCCTTGGATATGGGGGACTCTGGATGGTCCACGTGGACACAGCAAGCTGGAACAGGGGGCTCCAGTCCCCCACATGGACTCGGAGGGCTGGGGACCAAGGGCGGGCCTGGAGGTGGAAGAGGGTCCGTGCGCCTGGCGTGTCCTGGTGCTGCGAGCTGATTAAAGGCTGCTGGTGAAGGAACCGTGTGTGGCTCTGCTGGGATAGGGCACAGCCCGGCCCCCCCGCGGCTCTGTGGCACAGCCCGCGCCCCCCCCTGGCTCTGTGGCACAGCCTGGCCCCCCCCCGGCTCTGTGGTACAGCCCGCTCCCCCCGCGGCTCTGTGGTACAGCCCGCTCCCCCCGCGGCTCTGTGGCACAGCCCGGCCCCCCCCACCGGCAGCGCTGTGGGACGGCCCGACCCCCGGGCCGCGTGCTGGTCCTGCCCGGGTGGGCGGGGCTCCGTGGAGTGCCCGCCCTCCGGAAACGGCCATTGGCTGGGGCTGTGCCCGGCGGAGAGCGACGGCGTTGATTGGCTGGCTGCTCCGCCAATCACACGGCCGGAGCCGTGCCTGCGCTCGCATTGGCCGCGTTGTGAGGAGTGCCCGCCCCTGGGCGGGCCGTGAGCGGCTGCGGGGCTGCCATTGGCCAGTGTCGCCGTCAGTCAGGTCCGGGAGGGGGGGCCGTGGCTCCGATTGGCGGCGGGGGCCGCCATTCCGGACAGGGGCGGGGCCTGGCCCCTTTGTCTCTGTTGTTGGGCGTGAGGCGCGGGCAGACGGCGCGCGATTGGCCGGGGCCGGGCGGCGGCGGCCGCGCCCATTGGCTGTGGGTGGCGGAGCGGGCGCGGATTGGGCGGCGGCGGCGGGGGGGGCGGGACTTCGGGCCGGTGCGATGGCGGCGGCGGCGGCCCCGGCCCGGGCGGCGGCGGCCGCGGGGGCCGCGATGGCGGCGGCGATGGCGGTGGCGGGGCGGCGGCGGCTGCTGCGGGCGGCGGGGGCCGCGGCCGGGCGGGCGCGGGGCCGCGGCGGGCTGTAGGCGGCGGCGCCATGGAGCGGCCCGGCAGCGCCGAGGGGGCCTGGGCCGCGCTTCTGGGCCGGCAGCACCCGCAGGTACCGGGCGGGCCGGGGCGGGGGGGCCGCGCGCGGGGCCGCGGTGACGGTGCGGCCGTGCCCGCAGGCCCGGGAGTTCTGCCCGGGGGTGAACAACCGGCCCTACGTGTGCGAGACCGGGCACTGCTGCGGGGAGAGCGGCTGCTGCACCTACTACTACGAGCTGTGGTGTGAGTGCGGGCACCGCGAACCGGGGGAGCGGGGCAGACGGGGAGACAGGGAGTCCAGGAGTCCGGGGAGCTCAGGGGCTCCGGGCAGGTCCTGCGGCTCTGGGAGCCGAGTGGCAGCGAGGCTTCCAGGGGGTTCGGGGGGTTACCGAGCGACCTGTGGGTCGAGGGGGGCCGGGAGCTCCGGAGGGTCTGGGGGAGATCAGAGGCTCCGTGGGGATATGGGGGCCTCTGGGGCCCGGGGGCTGTGTGTGAGGGTGACCCCCGCTCTGCCCCCCACCCCGCAGGGTTCTGGCTGCTCTGGACCATCCTGATCCTGCTGAGCTGCTGCTGCGCGTTCCGGCACCGCCGGGCCAAGCTCCGCCTGCAGCAGCAGCAGCGGCAGCGCGAGATCAACCTCATCGCCTACCACGGTGCCTGCCACTACCCCCCCTCCGCGGGGGACCTCCGTGAGTGGGCACAGCCACCCCCCGCGCCCCCGGCCCTGCCGGTAACCCCCCTCCATGGGGAGTCTGAGTCCGGGCACCCTGGACCCTCCTAAACCCACGTCCCCCTCCACTGCCCCTCCCCATACCCCCTTCCCCCTGGCTTTTCCCCCCAGGCCCTCCATGTCCCCCTCCCCATCCCTGCCCCGAGCCCTGGGCTGGGCTGAGCCTTCCAGCTCGCTCCCCTCTGGGATCCCTTCCAGCCCTGCATGCCCCCAGCTCTGCCCCCTTTGCTCCCGTGTCCTCTGGCATTCCCTGTATCCCCGCCGGGTGCTCCCCTGACCCCGCTGTTCCCCCCCAGGGCTCTTGGCCTCCTTCAAGCTCCCTGCGTACGAGGAGGTGGCCCAGCGCCCCGGGACGCCGCCGCCGCCCTACAGCCCCGGGAGCCCCTCGCTGTCCCCCGGCTCCTGCGGGGGCTGCAGCTCCTGCTCCTGCGGCTGCTCCTGCGCCTCCTCCCCCAGCAGCTCCTCGCTGTCGGCGCCGGGCACCGACGAAACGGACCCGGACCCGGACCCGGGCCGGGGGGGTGGCACCGCCGGCGGCTCCAGCAGCACCGGCACCGGTGCCAGCTGGGAGCTGCCCCCGCCCGAGGAGCCCCTGGCCCGCGGGGGCCCCTCCAAACACGGCCCCCCGGACTTCCCCGAGGCCGAGGGTGGCCCCTGCTCCTACACCGAGGCGGGTGAGGAGGGGGTGGGCGGCGCGGCCCGGGGGGAGGACGGCCCTGGGCGGCACCGGCGGCTCACGGGGGACTCGGGAATCGAGGTGGGGCGGGGCCTGGAGGAGGAAGAGGGCGAGGCCAAGGGCTGGGGGGGGCCGGGCGGTGGGGGGGGCCTGGCTCACCTGCGCTGCCTGTCTGAGACCCCCCGGGACCCCCTGCTGGGGTCTGGACTCACCGCGGAGCCTCCAGGGGCCCCTCACCCCAACTGACCCCCACGGTGACCCCACTCATGGTGTGGCCCTGCCAGAGCCCTCTCTCCAAACTGTTTCTGGAGCCCCCCCACCCCGGTGCTGCTGCTTGGGGAGCCCCCATCGCTGGGGAGGGCCCAGGCTGTGGGGGTGGGTGGTCCTGGCACATTCTCTCACCATTAAAGAGACGTGGAAGTACCGGAGCCCTGGTGTGATGGGGGCACTGGGCTGGGTGGGGACCCCTGACTTCTCAGGGAGGGGACAGATGCCCCCCGGGGCTTGGGGACATCGGGCTGAGCTGGGACAAAGGCCCCTGGAAGCACTGGGGACACGATGACACCCTGACCTGGGCAGGAAGAGGCCCAAGTTGTGGAGGTTTATTGAGGGGGAGATGGGGGGGCTCCAGCACAGCCCCCCAGCACCTCCTCTGGCCCTGAGCGTGCGGGGCGGGGGCACGGGGAGCCCCCATCAATAGTCCTCGGCCATGGCGAGCACCACGAGCGCGGACCAGCCTGCGAAGGGGTGGCAGCCCTGCCCCGCCCCGTCGCTGTCCCGGTAGTGCTCCCACAGGAAGCCGGTGGCCTCGTGCTGCCGGAACACGTTGGTGACCAGGTTGTGGTGCAGCTCCCGGTACAGCCGTGCCGCCTGCTCGCGGTGCGGCCCCGCTGTCCGTGCGTACTCGTGCAGCGCCCGCAGCGCCAGGAAGTTCATGTTGACCCAGATGGAGCCGCGCCAGTACGGGGGGTCGTGCTCGGTGTTGCGCTGCAGGTACCAGGGGCTGTCGCGGGCCAGCGAGCGCAGCCCGAAAGGCGTCCAGAGCTGCGCCTCGCTGCGCATGGCGCCCAGCAGCGCGGGCAGGCGCGGGGAGTCCGCGGGCAGCAGCTGCAGCAGCAGCGGGAACAGGCTCACGTAGCCCAGCGCGCCCACGAAGCGCGGCCGCGGTGCCTCCCGCACCTCCCGGCGCAGCTGAGGGGCCGGCGGGGCACGGCCGGGCACGGGGGCCGGGCGGTGCCAGCGCAGCGCCACGGCCGCACTGTGGTTGCCGAAGTCGGCGAAGGCGCCGAGCTCGGGCGCCCAGTGGTGCCGCTCCAACAGGGCGTTGTCGCTCAGTGCCAGGGCCATGTCGCTGTAGGGCTCGGGGGGCTCCCCCAGGCGCTCGGCCAGCGCTGCCAGCACGCGGGCGCCCAGCGCCATCCAACAGCGCAGGTCCAGGTGCCGCTCCTGCTCCGACGGGTGCGAGGCGCGCGGGTAATCGTCCAGCCCCGACGCCAGCGTCTTGGGGTTCAGGAAGCGCTCGGCGTCGGTGTCGCGGCCGCGCCAGCGGAAGGTGAGGGGCTCGGGGCCGGCCTGGGTGCGGTTGAGCCACGAGAACCAGGCGCGCAGGCGCGGGGAGAGGCGGCGCAGGTAGGGCAGGGGCGCGTCGGGCAGGAGCCGCTCCAGCGCCAGCAGCAGCGTCGGCGGGTTCGCCGTCTCGCTGTGCTGCAGCACGAACTCGGGGGGCACCCTGGCCCGCGCCTCGTCCCCCAGGATCTGCTCCCGCGGGATCCAGCCGTCAGCGTTCATGAGGTCGAGCCAGTGCGCCAGCACGTCCCGGGCCAGCGCGGGCGCCCAGCGGGCCAACAGCAGCAGGTGGAAGCCCTCGTCCCACAGGAAGCCCCGCGGGAAGCAGGAGCGCGAGGGCACGGCCGTCAGCAGCGTGGCCTCGGGGCCGGGCAGCGGCTCCGAGCGGTGCTCCGAGCGCAGCAGGGAGCGGCCGTGGAAGAAGCCGAGCCCCCCCAGGAGCTCGCTGAGCGCGGCCTGGGCGAAGCGGCGCTGGGCGGGGGTCGCCCCGCGCGCCTCCAGCCCGAAGGTGTCCTCGAAGCGGCGCTCGAAGGCGGTCACGTGCCGGGCCAGCGCCGCGCCCAGCGCCCGCCCCGCCAGCCGCCCCTGCCGCGCCCCCGCCGCGCTGCCCGACTCCAGCACCGCCTCCAGCACCGCCGGCGCCTCCAGCGTCACCTGGTGCAGCAGCAGCTGCCCCCGGGGGGGCTCCCCGGGCAGCCCCCCCGCGCCCGACACCCCCAGGTAGTGTCGCCGTGGGCGCCCAGGCGGTGAGAACACGCAGGGCTCCCGCAGGCTGTGCTGCACCAGCTCCGTGAGGCGCTGCAGCCCCGGCACCGACCCCGCCAGGAAGTTGTAGCTGAGGGAGACAGAGAGGTCGGGGATGGGCGCAGATGGGGGGACAGGGGAGGTGAGAGTCAGGTGGGGGGAGACACGAGGGAGAGGAGGAGTCAGGGAAAGGGAAGGCACAGGGGCCAGGGAGTCAGGGGAAAGGTGGAGGAAATAGATGCAGGCAGGAGAAATGGAGGGACATGGGATGCAGAAGAGCATGTGGAGGATCGGGGAAATGGGGGAAGAGAAAAGGGGCAAACACAGGGAGAGAGAAGAAGACATGGAGTCATGGAATGGGGGGAAAACAGAGGAGACAAAAAGTAGGCAGAGATGAGGGGTTGGGGATCAAGCCCCAGGGACTCACCTGGCATATTTGGGCCCCTCCTCGCCCTCCTCCATTGGGGGCAGGAAGGTGAGGGTGAAGTTCCCGAGCTCCTCCGATGTTCCCTCCACGGCCGCCAGGTGGGTCCCGTTGTGCAGCACCGGCCGCAGCTCCCCCTGCCCGTCCGTAGCCACGTAGAAGAACAGTGACAGGAGCGGGGCCGGGCCTTTCCCCTGGCGGCGGGAGCAGGAGGAAGGTGACGGAGGGTCCGCGGCATCCCAACTCCTCTCCCGCCCTCCCTGCACTCACCTCCATCCTCGCCGTGACCCTCCAGCTCCAGTCCCCGCCGTGGTCTCCCCCCGGCTGCTTGACGAACTCCGTTCTGAGCAGCAGCCGCCCGTCGCGGATCTCCTGCACGCCGAAGTTCTCCCCGTCGTGCATCACCCAGCCGTAGCGGGCCGGCCCGTCGCCTTGCTCGCACGTGTGCCGCAGGCCGCCGCCGTGCTGCAGCCACATCAGCCCTGGGGGGCGCGGGGCGTCAGGGGCGGCTCCCGGGTCGGCAGCGGGGCCGGCGGAGCCCCGGGGTGGAGCCCCCACCCGCGCCCCCCTCACCGGTCACGACAGAGCGCGGGCTCCGCGTCTTCATCCCGAAGAACACGTGCGGCCGGTACGTGCCCCAGAAGTAGGCGGGGGAGGCGAGGGGCCCGGTGGAGCCGGGGGACGGCGGGGGCGCGGGGTGGGGGGTGACGAGGCGCGAGGCTTCGCTCCACCGGCTCCACTCGGTCGCCGCCGCCATGAGACCGAGCGCCAGCGCTGCCGCCGCCGCGGCTGCCAGCGCCGTCCGACCCCGGCCCGGGCCCCGCGGCTGCTGCTGCTGCTGCTGGTGCTGGCGGTGCTTCGGGTCCCGCGGCCGCTCCCGGGGCCGCTCCCGGGGCCCGTCCCCGCCACGCCGCCGCCGCTCCCCCGCCATGGCCGCCCCCCTGACGTCAGCCCGCGCGACGGGGTGCGGGGAGAGCCGCACGCGCGCCCCCTGGCGGGCGGGAGGACCCCGCGCCGTTCGGTCCTCCCAGGGACTCCCGCCCGACCCAAAACCGGCCCCGAGGGGACAAGGACCGCCCTCAGCGTGCCCCCAACCCCGCCTTCCGCCCAGTCCACGCTCATCACGTCCTTAGAAGCCATTTGTTACTCCCTTGCTCGGCCCCATCGCTGGGAAGGGGTCCCGGCTGCACTGACTCCCCCATCCACCACCCCAACAGTGTCTCCCGAGGGACCCCAGACAGGATTCCCCCAGCCCTCCCCAGGACCCCCATGGATGCCCGACCTCCCAAAGACCCCCATTATGAACCCCCAATATCCCCCGGGACCACCAAGGGATCCCTGGTGTCCTTGAAGACCCCCAGGGACCTCCACCCTGCATTCCTGGCATCCCCTGGAACTCCCCAGAGTACTCCCAACCTCTCCAGGGCCTCCAAGGGACCCCCAGCCGCCCCAGGAACCCTCAAAGGGCCCCAATGGAACACCAGCCATGCACCCCTGTAGTTCCCCAGGACCCCCAAGGGCCACTCACTCTGCACCCCCGTCTCTCCAGGACCCCCCAGATCCCCTCAGGAGTCCCCGTTAGATCCCGCCCCACAAGTAGGTGGTCCCAGCCGCAATCCCAGATCTCGGGCCGGTGCTGTCAGCCCCCCATGCCCCGTGCCCCCCTCGCAGAGGCGGCCGGGCCGGGTGGGGCGGGTTTATTGCGTGTCAGCCCTCGGGGCTGTTGCCCACGCAGGGCAGCCCCGGCACTCTCCAGCGGCGGGCGCGGTGGAGCCGCAGGGACAGCCACTGCTGGGGGCTGCCCGGGAAGGGCGGCTCGGCAGCGGCGCCGCGGGCACGGCCCGGCACATCGTCTCCCGCGCCCGGCCGGGGCCCCGGCAGCGGCACCGCCACCTCCAGCGGGTCCAACACAGGCAGCGGGGCCGGGGGCGGGTCCAGGGGGTGGGCGCCTTCGTCCGAGCCTGGGAAAGGAGGGACGGGCTGGGATATTGGATCCTGCTCCTGCTAGGACCCCCCGTCCCCGTCCGAGTCACCATTCCCTGATGTTCCCGTCCTCATCTCCACCCCCATCCTTGTCCCAGTCCCCGTCCTCATCCTTTCTCCATCTCCATTCCACCTCTATTTCAGTTCCACCCCCGTCCCATCCCTATTTCATCCCCACCTCATCCCACCCCGTCCCCATATCCCCACCCCATTTCATCCCATCCCCATCTCCTCCCCATTCCCATTCCCATCCCACTCCCACCCCATCCTCGTCCCCCCATTCGATTCCACGCCCCCCCAGTGGTGCCCCGTGCCCGCTCTCACAGCAGCGCCGCAGCCCGGCCCAGCCGCGGGGGTGGCCGCCGCGCCCCCCCGGCTGCTGCAGGAGGCAGCGCACGGCCGTGTCCGTGTGGTGGAACACCCGCAGAGCCCGCAGAGCCTGCTGGGCCTCGGGGGCCAGCCCGGAGCGCTCCGAGCACAGCAGCTCCCGCACCGCCTCGAAGTCCCGCCGCAGCTGCAGGGCCCCCTGCAGGCTGGGACAGGGGGGCAGCGTGGGCATGGGACCCCCGGGACACCCCCCCGGGTCCCCTAGCACCGCCACCACCTCCTGGGACACCCACTGCGATCCTGGAACTGTCACCAGATCCCCAGAACTGCCCACCTGGACCCCTGAAACCCCCACTGGGACTCCTAGAACGGCTGCCAGGACACCCAACCTGCCACCGGGACACTTGTCCTGTCATGGGACCCCCAGTAGTGCCACTGGGACCCCTGTTACTGCACTGGGATCCCTGAAACTTCCACCAGGCCCCCTGGCCCCCCCTCTGGGACCCCCAGCACTATCACTGGGACCCCTGCTCTGCCCCCAGGATCACAAAGGGGCTCCTGGCACTGCCCCTTGGCTGTGGCACTGGTGTGGGCCCCCGTTCCAGTACCTGAACTTGATCCTGTGGGTGAGGATGTGGTCCATCCAGGCCTCCAGGAAGGCCGTGGTGACCCGTGCCAGGGTGGGTGCCTGGGCGTCGCGGGGCAGGGCCTGTGCCCCCTGCAGCACCTGCCCCAGCACCGCCTGCACCGCGGCCGCTGCGTACGCACTGGGGGTGCTGGGCAGCTCTGGGGGAGCACCGACACCCTGCTCAGTGCTGGGACCCCCCTCAGCCCCCTGAGCACCCCAGCACACCCCCAGCCCCTCACACCCACCGGCACGTGGCCCGAGCCGCCAGTGCCGGCCCAGCGGCATCGTCTGGTCAAAGATCTCGGCCGAGAGCCGCTTGCAGCTGCTGGAGAACATCCCGAGCACGTCGCTGGAGAAGAGCTGGGACGCGGCAGGGGACATGGCGTGACACAGGCACCCAGGGCACCCCTCTGCTCGGGACCCCCACCCAGGTCCCGCTGTACCTGGATGTTGTTGGCCGCTCCGTGGATCTGCCGGCACAGCTGGAGCTCCCACGGGGACCCGTGGGGTGGCTCTGGGGGGGTGTCTCCATCAGTGTCCCCCAGCTCTGGGAAGGTCCCACTCACCTGCAGCACCAGCTGCTCCGTCTCTGCCTTCAGCACCTGGAGGGGAGCAGGAGGGGTGAATCCAGCCCCCCATACCTACAGGTCTCCCTCCCTGGGTGAGCAGCAGGAGCCGGGGCAATGACCAGGCCCCCCTGTGCCCCCCAGTGCCCCCCGTGACCCTGTACCTGCAGGTCTCCCTGGGTGAGCAGCAGGAACTGGGGCAGTGCCCAGGCCGCCAGGTACCGTCCGGCCCTGCCCGTCAGCCACGCGTGAGCAGCCGCCACCGCCGCCAGACACCGGCCCAGCACCTGCAGCCGCAGGCAGGGACCCCCAGGGGACGCTGGAGGAGGGTGTCAGCACAGAGGGGACCCCACGTGCCCCCTCGTGCCCCCCGGATCCCGCTCACCGTGTGGGTGCGTGGGCAGCGGGCGCAGGCAGCGCAGGGCCAGCGCCAGGGCTGGGAAGAGGCGCCGGAGCTGCTGCGCCGTGCGGCTGCACCCCGGCCCCGGAGGCCCCCCCGGCACCTCCAAGCACTTGTCCAACAGCCCTGAGCCCAGGGCACAGGTGAAATCTGGAGGGAAAACAGTTAGAAGCCCCTAACACCGCACACGTCCCACTGTAACCCACACCTGCACCCTGGACTGCAAACCCAGTACCCCACACCCTCACTGCCTACCCCCCAGATCACCCTCTACTCCGTCATCCCACGCTCACTCTCCACCCCACATTGTACTCCACACTTGCACCCCAGACCTCCCTAACCCAGCCCCCTAGCCCTGTACCCCGTGTTCCCCACCCTATACTTCCCCCAGCCCCCAGGACCTGTGTCCCAGCTGCAGAGGATGCTCCGGCAGATCAGGCGCAGGCAGAGCACCCCCAGCTCCTCCTGGCACTCGGGGGGCACACGGGCTGCGAGGGAACCCGGGGGTCAGGGCATGGCAGGGCCCCCCCGCGGCACCCCCTGCCCCCCGTGTCCCCACGTACCCACGACGAGCGCGCGGCTCAGCTCCTGCGCCGCGGTGACGGTGGCGCTGAGGGTGGAGGGGGGGGTGCCCAGGCTGTGCCCCAGCGCAGCACCCACGGCCCCCCAGAGCAGCGGGCGGTACCGGGCGCCCAGCGTGGCGGCCGCGGGGCCCCGGGCGGTGTCCAGCCACCGCACCGACTTCCAGCCGCCCGTGCTGCCCGGGCGCGGCCCCACGGGCTCAGGGCTCTCAGACAGCACCGGCTGCCACAGGCTGTCGGCCGAGGCCACCAGTGCCCCCAAAACGTGTCCCGTCAGCTCCTCGTCCTCCAGGCACAGCGCCCGCAGCTCGGCCACCAGCCCTGGCGGCGCCGCCGCTCCGGAACCTTCTGCGTCCGTCGGCGCGTCCGTCCCCGCAGCGTCGTGCCCCGGCGGCCACGGCACCGCCACGTCCTCCCAGCACACGTGTCCATCCCTGATGTCCCCACCTCGGGGCCGCAGGAGGGGCTGGAGCCGCTCGGCCACGGCGCGGCCACGCTCGGCCGCCAGCACCCGCAGCACTCCGTCCACCGTGAAGGGAGGGGGGACACCCCCGGGACCCGCCTCGGGGCCCAGCTCCTCCGCCAGCCCCTGCACCACGCGGTTGTAGATCTCCAGCCCCTGGAAGAGCTCAGCCAGGCTCTCGGGGGCCGGGGAGGGGGTCCCGGGGCAGCCCAGCTCCCGCAGGCACCCCTCGGCGTGGCGCCGGGCCAGACGCGCGGCCATGAGCGCCGGCAGCAGCAGCGCCCGCCGCATGTGCGCCACGGCCTCGCGACGGCGCCGCGGCAGCGCCCGCAGCCACGCGTCCCCCCGCAGCCTCCGCCGCAGCGCGGCCCAGTGCCCCGCGTGTGCCCGCAGCTCCAGGCACAGCTCCCGCAGCGCCGGCCCCGCGCGGCCCCCGCAGGCCCCTGGCACCGGCAGCGCCAGCAGCTGCCGCAGGAAGTCGGAGGAGGCCTTGAGGCGCCGGGCGAAGTCGCGGGCCAGGCGGAGCAGGTGGCGGTGCCGCAGCAGTGCGTGCAGGGCCGCTCCCCGCGCGGCCACGCGCTGCCGCACCGCGTCCTCCGAGAACTCGGCGGCGCCGCCGGGACGGGGCCGCACGTGTCCCTGGAAGGTCTCGGTGCGAGGGTCCTCCCAGACGCGGAGGCAGCGGCGCAGCCCCGCGAAGCTCTGCTCCAGCGGGGTCACGATGGACGCGGCCTCGTCCTCGGTCTCGTCCTCCTCGTCGCTGTCGCCGTCGCCGCGCCGGCGGGGCCGCGGGGCCAGCAGGCGCCGCAGCCCCGGGGAGACGCAGCTGCGCAGCATGGCCTCTGCCCGCTGCAGGGAGCGCGCCAGGGGCCCCCGCAGCCCGCCTGGGGGCCGAGCGTGGGGCAGCGACCTCAGTGTGGGGTACAGACCCTCACGTGGGGTAGCCCCTGCCCACACCCCCCTCATCTCTGCCACCCCAGCCCTGAGCCCCCCAGCCCCCTGGGCACCCAGGGAGTCCCAGAACCCCGTTAGGGTTCTCATAGTCCCCCCACATTAGGGTCCCCCACGCTATCCCCAGGAACTCCATAACCCACTGGGGTTCCTGCAGCCAACCCAGGACCCCATATCCCATCAGGGTCCCCACAGCCCCTAAGAACCCCACACTCCCTCAGGGTCTCTGCAACACCCCAGGACCCCACAACCCCTCGAGATCCCCACAGCCTCCTCGGTGTCTCACCAGGCTCGAGGGGCTCCCCGTGGGCCACCCCATCACCCGGGGCCGGCCGGGCCGTCAGCAGCAGCAGGATGAGGCCGCCCAGGCCGGCGTCGCCCACCTGAGGGGTGCGGGGGGCTCAGGACCCCTGGGCTGGGCGAGGGGCGGGGCCACCGCCGATGGGGCGGGGCTAAAGGGATGGCCCCGCCCCTCAGCGCTGGCAGCTGCGGAGCCCTCCGCAGTGACCGCGCCCCCTCCCGCAGTAGCCACGCCCCACGCCTGACCGGCCACGCCCTCAGTCCCCGTGGCCACGCCCCCTCCCGGGCCGTTGCCATGGAGACGTCGCGTTGCCGGGTCCGGTGCCCCCCTGCCCGGCCTGGCACCGCCCCGGCCCCGCCGCTCCTCGGGAGGAGTGTCCGGCCCCCTCTCCCCGCGTGGCCTCACCTGCAGGCAGAGCTCCCCGCCGCGTCGCTCAGCGCCGCCGGCCTCCATGCCGGGCCATCCCGGGGGCGGCGGCAGCAAAGAGGCTTAGACCGTGCCCGGGCTAATCCGGGGGGCCGGACCTGGCTGGCCGCCGGGACAGAGTCGGCGAGGGGGGCAGGACGAGCAGCGGGGAGAGGCCGGGCCCGCGGCCTCGGGGCAGGCGCGGGAGGAGGGACGGGACGCGGAGCGCCGGTGCCGCTGGGTGCGGGCCCTGCGGGCCGCCGTCCTGCCCGCACCCAACATGGCAGCCGGGCGGCCTCAGCCGGCGCCCTGCCCCACTTCCCGTCGGTTCTGTGACGCACTTCCGGCGCGCGGCGGCTGGCGGCGATGCGGGGCGGGATGCGGGACCGGGACGGGCCCGGCCCGGGGGGCTCCGCCTGCGGGGCCGGCCCCGCCGCCTGCCCCTGGGGCTGCGCGCCCGGCCCCGGCGGCTGGAACGGCGGTACGGGCCGGGGGGGCGCGGAGGGGGAGCCCGGGACGGGGCCGGGGAGCGGCGCCCGTGCCGGCCGGGTTTCCGTTCCGCCTGCCCCGGCTCACGGCCGCCTGCGCTCCCTGCAGCGCCTTTCTGCCCTTGGCACCGCCTGTCCGGCCTCGGCGAGCTCCCAGTGCTGCCGCGGGGCCCCTCCCAGACGGTGATCCAGTGCGAGGAGGGGGAGGTGTGTCTGCTCTGGGACGACGGTGAGTCGGGCAAGGCGTCCCGGGGATCCCGGTGCCCGGGGGCTGCCCCTCATGCCCTGCGCTCTCCCACCAGGTCCCAGGCTGGAGCATTTCTACCAGCTGGAGGATGACGACGAGGATGAGTCCGACACAGATTACGAGGAGCGGGATGAGTTTTGGGACGTTCCCCTCGTGGAGCGGCCCCGGCCTTACAGCTACTGCGGCTTCCGAAAGTCCTTCTTGTGTGCGGAGCCGCCGCCGCAGCCCCCCCGGGCCCCCCCGAGCGCCCTGGAGGCGCGGCTGGACCGGCTGCCCACGCCCCGCCGGGCCCGGCTCACGGCTGAGGTGGGCAATGCTCGCCCCCTCCTCCCGCTCTCCGCGGGCTGGGGTGTCCCGGGCTGGCATCGCGGGAGGGGCCGTCACTGTGTGCTTCTCCCAGGAGGCAGAGAGGAACGCCCAGGAGCTGGTGGCGGAGGAGGAGCGGGTGAAGAAGAAAGCAGAGAAGAAAAAGCTGAAGAAGAAGGTGGGTGGGCCCTGGAGGAGTCACTGTCAGCCCTTGGGGTGCAGGCAGCTGCTGTCCCTGAGCCCTGGGGCTTTGGGCTCGGGGGAGGTTGAGGAGGACTGCATTGCTATAACGGTTCTGTAATTCCCCTTTCCAGAAGCAAAAAGACCGGAAAAAACGAGAGAAACTGTGTCAAGAGCAGAAGAACAAGGAGAACACTGACCCGGTGTGTGACCCCTTCAGCCCCCTGGGGCTGTCCTGCCGGTCCCCAGAGCTGGGGGCTGGGCAGCACCCCCTGCCCCAGCCACCCTTTCCCCTCCCTGTCCCTGCAGAGTCCCCCGGCCCCGAGCAGCCCTGCGGGCACGGGGCCCCCCCGGGATGGTGCTGAGGAGGAGGGGGGCTGCACAGGCCCCTCCCCACACCCCGGGAGCTCCACGGCCCCATCGGAGGACACAGAGGGAGCAGAGGTGAGGGAGGGTCTCCCTTAGGGGCTGTGTGGGCACAGGGGGTGCTGTCTGGGCTCTGCCTGCCCACCCCCCTACCCCCCCAGGAGGAGCTGGACCTGAGCTGCACCTTCGTCTGCAAAGCACGGGAGAAGGCGGGGGTCCGGCTGCGCCCCCCCGGCAAGGAGAGACCCCCCGGCACAGGGGACACGGAGCTGGGCAGGAGGGCACCAGAGAAGGGCAGGGGGGAGAGCCCTGCCCCTCCCCAGCCCCCTGGCCCCGGTGCAGTGGAGCAGAGCCTGATGCTGGCAGGTTAGTACAGGGAGTCCTGAAGATGTGGGGGGCACATGGGGGGCTCTCCTGCTGTGCCAGGAGGGCTCTGCTTGCTGCACTGTGGATTTTGTGCTGGGGGGGCTCACCCTGCTGCTCCCCAGCTCGTGGGGGGGCTGTGCCAGGGGTGCTGTCCTTCCCCAGGGTGGTCTGTGCTGGAGGGCTCCCTGCCCAGGGTGGTCTGGTCTGGGGGTCTCTCTGTGCAGCTCCTCAGGTCCAGGGCAGCCCTGCCCCAGGGCTGCCGTGCAGAGCTCTGGGCTGGCTCAGGGACCCTGTCACCTCTGTGCCCCTCGTGCCCCCAGGCCACGGGATCGCTGCAGCCCAGGCAGGCCAGCACGACGAGGCCGTTCGGGCCTTCAGCGCTGCCCTGGAGCTGAACCCCCAGGAGCACCGGTGAGCAGGGGAGTCCTGGGGGTCCCAGGGTGGGGGGGCCAGGCAGCAGCGACCCCCGTGTTTCCACAGGCTCCTGGGGAACCGCTCGTACTGCCTGGAGAAGCTGGGCCGCTACGAGGAGGCACTGAGAGACGCGGAGGCGGCGCTGGGGCTGCAGCCGGGCTGGCCCAAGGGCTCCTTCCGCAAGGGCAAGGCCCTGCGGGGCCTGCAGGTACCCTGGGGGGGCTGCAGGTACCCTGGGGGGCTGCAGGAGCGGCTGGGGGCTGAGGGCAGGAGGGCTGGAGGGTGGCATGGCTGGGCAAGGGGCTGCAGCACACCAGGAGTGGGTGGGGAGCTTTTGGAAGGCTGTAGTGTACCATGGGCTGCTGTTGGGGCTGAGTTGAGGGTTGAGCTGGGGGCTGTGGGGTGCCGGTGGGGCTGGGTCAGGGCTACAGGGACCTGGGGAGCTCTGGAGTGGTGTGGCTGCATGGCATAGGCTGAGGGGTATCAGGGTTGGGAGAGAGGAGGGAGGTATCGGGTGCAAATTAGGGTCTGCGGGGTGCCAGGGCTCGGAGGACTGGGCAGGGGCTCGGGGGAGGGCTGGGGTTTTCCTGGGCTGCCATTTGGGCTGAGAGGTGCCCGTGGGACCGGGCAGAGAGCTCTAGCGTGCCCTGGGGTGCCGTTTGGGTGGTGGGATGCCCGTGGGGCCAGGCAGGGGGCTCTGGGGTGCCCTGGGGTGCTGTTTGGGTGGTGGGGTGCCCGTGGGGCCGGGCAGGGGGCTGCAGGTGCCCCCTGCCCCCAGCGCTACGCCGAGGCCGCGCACACCTTCGAGCAGCTGCTGCTGCGGGACGGGGCCAATGCCGAGGCCGCTGCACAGCTGGAGGCCTGCCGGGCCCTGCTGCGGGTGAGACCCCCTTCCCCTGCCCCCCATCCCCTGCCCCCCACCCTGCTGTGCCCCCCACACCTCACCCCTGTCCCCCCACAGCAGCGCAGCCGCTCCGGGGCAGTCCCTGTGTCCCCCTTCCTGCCTGAGACCAAAGAGCCGCCGCTTCTCCCTGGTAAGGGACCAGGGCTGGGGGTCCCTGGGGATGTCCCCATGTCCCTGGTGGGTGCTGACTCCCCCGGACCCTTGGCAGGGGGGTGGGTGAGCGGGAGCAGCCAGCACACAGGTGACACGAGTGTGGCGGGGGGGAGCACCGGGACCCCCGCGAGAGGCCCAGGACAGGGACCTGCCACAGCCACCAGCCACCCGACACTGCCACCAAGCCATCCTGCCAGGTACAGGGCTCCAGGGGGCTGGGGGATCCCAGAGCTCCAGTGAGGTGGCACTGGCTCTGGTGACACTCGGGTGGCTCTCGGCAGGGACTGCTTTCCGCTCTGGGTGGGCAATGTCACCTCCCGCATCAGCGAGAAGGTGTTGCGCCACACCTTTGGCCGGTGAGTGACTCCCAGGTACCGCCCCCCTGGGATCCCCAGCTTCCTAGCACAGCCCTGGTGCCCCCCAGCCATCTCTGTCCTCATTCCCTGGTGGTTCTGACTTGCTTGGTTGGCTGGTCTGTGATCTACTTCCCATGTTTGGGGATATTTAAGCTCCCTCCAGTATTGGGGATCTCTACTTCACAGCTTTGGGGTATTTTTAACTGTTTTCCTTCAGATTTGGGAGTTTCTGATCCCCCTGCCTGCAGGTTTAAGAGTGTCTTAATACTCTTCCTCTCTCTTCGGGGGTCTTTTGGTATTCCCTGCCACACACATTTGGGGGTCTCTAACACTCCCTGCCGTATTTGAAGGTTTCTGAGGGTCTGTAACCCTTGCCCCCCCATGTTTGGGGGTCTGTGCCCCCAGGTTTGGGGAGATCCGCTCGGTGCGGATGCTGCCGGGCCGGCGCTGTGCCTTCATCAACTTCTGCGGGAAGGCGGCGGCGGAGGCGGCCTTCGGAGCCATGCAGGTGAGCTGGGGGGGCATGCGGGGCCCCCCGCCCTGGGGCTGCCCTGGGACACCCCTGCCCGCAGGGCCTGTCCCGGTGCGAGCTCCCCCCGTCCCCAGGGTGCCACCGTGGAGGGCAGCGAGCTGGTGCTGCAGCTCAAGCACCCGTCCCACGCCACGCCGGCCCCCCCGCCCCGCTCCAGGGCGGGCGTCCCTGCCGGGGGGCTGCTCAGATGACCCTGCTCTGTCGGGGGGGGCTGCCGGGGCCCCCCTGCACCTGCCTGTACCTGCCTGTACCTGCCTGTGCCTTGTACCCCTGCTGGGGGTGGGAGTGTCCCCCGCTCCTGCCTTGGGGGGGTCGGGGCCCCCCTGCATCCCCTCGTGCCTGGGGCGGTTGGGCCCGGGCTGATCCCCACGGCCCCTCAGGGATTTGTTACCTGTTCGGGTTTTATAATAAAACTGAGATCATTGTCCCTGTTTCTGGTTTTTTTTTGCCTTGGACTGGTGGTGCCCCCCCCAAAATGCTCCAGCCCTCCTTCCACCCCTCTGCCCTCTCTGCCCCCCACCTCAGTGCTGGACCCCACCGCTCCAGCCCCCCATGTCCTCTCCCCATGTTCCCCCTTGTCCTCCCGGGTCCCTCCAGCCCCGGGGGGCAGCGGTGGGGTCCCCACCCCCCCGGAATGTCACTTGCTTTGGGGCGGGGGAGTGACAGGCGGGACATCAAATACAATTTGATTAATATGCAAATTGAGGGGGGGAGGGTCGGCCTCAGCCGGTAATTAATCACCAGTTAAAACAAATTAATGCCTGCGGCGGGAAGTGCTCGCCTGGAAAATGGGGGGTACAGAGTGGTCCCCGGGGAGGATCAGGGCTCCATAATAAGGTGTTGCCTTTATTGCAAATATTTACACCGGGGCCGATAGAAAATAAAATTAAAAAAAAAGAAAAGAGACAATGGAAAGACGAACAAAAAAAATACCCAAAAACGGGTGCACCGAGGGGGCGGGGCGGGGCCGGGCCGGGCTCGGCTCCGTTCGGAACCGAATCGAGTGGAGCCGAACAGAGCGGTGTCGGCCCGGACGGTGCCGAGCAGAACCGAGCGGGGCGAGCCGGTCTGAGCGGGCTTGGCTCAGTCCGCCACGTCGATCTCCTCCTCCGAGAGCTCGGCGGGCGCCGCGGTGCCGGGAGCCCCCGGGGGCTCGGGCAGCCCCGCCAGCTGCTGGAGGGCGGCGGGGGGCAGCGCCTGCAGCGAGGCCACGTCCGCCCGCAGCTCCTCCAGGTCCCGCTTGAGCTTGGCGCGGCGGTTCTGGAACCAGGTGATGACCTGGGCGGCGGAGAGCGCCAGCCGCGCCGCCAGCGCGTCCCGGTCCACCGGGGAGAGGTAGCGCTGCCGCCGGAACCGCTGCTCCAGCTCCCGCAGCTGCTGCGCCGTGAACGCGGTCCGGGACTTGCGACGCTTCCTGCAGGGAGGGCGCGGGCCCGGGGCGCCCGGCGGGGACGGACCTGCGGGGACAGCGGGGTCAGGGCACCGGCACCGGGCACGGGGAACGGCCCCGCAACCCGCGCCGGCCCTGGGGAATAGCCCCGGGGCGCCCGCGAAGTGCCTGCAGGGACAGCGGGGGCAGGGCACGGGGAAAGGCCCCGAGGCGCCCGGTGAGGAAGGGCCTACGAGGCCCGGGACCCGCACCGCACCGGCACCGCCGAGCCGCGCAGAGCACGGCGAGGCCCGACATGCTGGGATGGCGGCGTCAGGGCAAAGGTAGCGGGACCCACACCGAGCAACGTGTAATGGCACGGGCACCTGCACCTGGTCGGCCCCGAGCGCTGCGGGTCCCGACCTCTGGGCACAGCAGTGTCAGGGTAGAGGCACCGGTAACGGCACCCGCACCGATCGCGCCGGGCCGCGACCAGCACGGCGGGCGGACTCCCGGTCGAACGGAGACGAACCGGCTCGCGTCGAGCCGGAAGCAGAAGAGCCGTGCCGTGCCGTGCCGTGCCGTGCCGTACGGAACCGAGGCCAACAGAGCCGAGCAAACCAAACCGTGCTCGGTGCCGGGAGCCGGGAGTCGCAGTTCCACAGCGGCCCCGGCCGCGTCGAAGTCGCCACCGCTGCGCTTGTGGCTGAGACGCCCGTGTCCTGCCAGCGGCTGGTTCTGGAACAAGGACCGAAGCGGGGAACAGAGCCGGGAACAGAGCAGGGAGATGGGAGCGGAGCGAGGAGCCGGGAGCCCCCGGCGGAAACCGAGATCCTCCTCTCCACGATTCCAGGAGACCCGAGGCCGTGCTGGTCCCTGCATCCGATCGCCTCGCTGCTCTCGGCTCCGGTGCGGCCGCTGGTGCCGGCATCGATGTAGAGAACACCCGGTGAGACGCGGATCGCGGCCCCGGCTATGGCTCAACGTCGCCGGCGGGATCCCGGTGGCGTCCCGAGTCCCTCTCCTGCTCCCAGTCCCGTTCCACCCCTCCTCTGCCGGCGGGACCAACCCGCTTCTCGGTAAAGCGGCTTCCGGGATCACCGTGCATCCCCCGGTAACGGCGGTGACCTCCGCGGCCGCCCGCAACGGGAGCTCCGCTCCTGGGGACCCCCGATCGCTCGGTACCGGAGCCCCGGGCCGTCCCAGCAGTCTCGCTTGAGCTGGGACTGTTGCCGGTCCGTTCCGGTAAGGGGCTTTACCGCGCTCACGAAACCCCCATCGCTCCCGTGTCTGTCCGTCCGTCAGTCCAATAACACGACTTTCCCTCCACTCTCGGAGTCCAGATCGACCCCGTTTCTGTCCGTCCGTCCCGGCAACGGGGATTTTCTCGCGTTCCAGGAGCCCTCCAGATCGCTCCCGTGTCCGTCCATCCTTTGTCGCTGCGAAGAGAGATTTTCGTTCATCACGGAGTCCCGGGCGGTTCCGGCCATGTCCGTGGGTCCGTCCGGGTAACGAGGTTTTACCTGAGTTACCGGCACCTCCCTCTGTCCGCCGGTCCCGGCTCGTTCCGCCGTTACCCGCGGCCAGTTCGCCATCGGGTTAATTCCGAGATTCCCGCTCGGCCGTGTCCGTCTGTCCGGCCGGTACCTGGGCTTCACTCCCGCTCCGGGAGGCCCGATCGCATTCGAATCTGTCCGTCTGTCCAGTCGGCAACGGGGTTTTTTCGTTCTTTTTTTTTTTTTCCATTTCCGTGTCCGTCCGTCTGCCCGGCCGGTAACGGGGATCACTCCTGTTTCGGTCCATCTGTTCGCCCGGTAACGGCATTTTTTTCGTTAATTTTTTTCGATCCCGGCCGTGTTCGTGTCAGTCAGGTAACGGGCGTTTTTACCTTAATTCCGAGAGCCCCGATCGACCGCGTTTCTGTCCGTCTGTCCATGCCGGTATACGAAGATTTTTTTTCACCCCCTTTTATATCCGTCTGCCTGCGGTAACGGGATTTTTTCTTTAATTTATTTCGTTCCCGGTCATGTCCGTCCGTCTGATAACGGGGGGTTTTACGTTAATTCCGGGCGCCCCGAGCCGTCTCCGTTCTGTCTCTCTCTCCACACGGTAATGGGTTGGCTTATTCGTTAATCACGGACCTCACTCTGTCTGTCTGACCTGTACGACGATTCGTTAATTACCGGAGCGACACTCCGTAATTAGAGAATTTCTTTCCTTTATTTGCCGGAGCCCGGCTCTGCCCGTGTCCGTCTGTCCGGCCGGTAACGGGGTTTCGGTTACTCACGGGAGCGCTGCTCGGTCGATCCGTCTCCGTCCGTTCCAAGATTTTTCGTTACCGGCGGGAGCCGCGTTGTGCCCATAGCGTGTCCGTTAATTACTGGAATGCTGCTCTGCTGTGACTGTCCGTCTGTCCGTCCCGGTAACGTTTTTTTCCCCGTTAATTACTGAGGCCCTCTCTATCCGTTTCAGTAAGGGGTTGTGTTTTTTTCCTTTTAATTACCTGGAGCCCCTCTCGATCTCTCCGTGTAGGTCTGTCCGTCCCGGTAACGGTTCTATTCATTCCGGGCGGCGCCGCGCTCTGCTTGTCCGTGTGTCTGTCCGTGTGAGGGATTTTCCTTTAATTCCGGAACCCCGATCGGTCCGTCCGTGATCGTCCCAGTAAGGGCTTGGTTTTTCCGAACAGTCCCAGAGTCCCGATCGGTCCACCCGTGTCCGTCTGTCCATCTCAGTAGCGGTTTTTGTTCGATCCCGGCGGCGCCGCGCTCCGTCTGTCGGTGTCTGTCTGTCCGTCCACCCGGTGACGCAGAGCCCGGGAGCGGTGGAGCTGGTTCGTCCCCGTCCATAAGCGGCTGTCGGACCCCGCCGGTACCGGGCCACTGCGGGAGGCCGAAACCGGCCAGAGCCACCGTCCCCGCCGGGGCTCGGGGCCCGTACCGGGTTTCCGTTGCCTCCTGGCCCGATCCACCGCTCGGCCCCCGCGCTCGGTCACGGTCACGGTCACGGCACGGCGGGGCTCACCCACCACCCGGTCCCGTGGCTCCCGGTAAAGCTGCCGGCGCCGTCCCGGCCGGTGCTCCCGAAGCTCCGGTGCCTCGGTGCTGGAGGCGGCTCACCGGGGCCGGGACTCTCTCTGGCTCCCAGTGTCCGGTCCCGGGGCTCTTCCCTCCCTCCGGGCGGAGGCTGCCGCGTGTCCGCGCCGGGCGAGCACCGGCGGCTTCCCTGGTCTCCCGGCTCCGCTCGCCCCTCCGGGACACGGAGGAAACTTCCCGGGACCGGGGAGGAGGGGCATCCCTAGCCTCGCCACGGCCTCTCCCGCCGCCCGCCGGCCCCGCTACCTGCCTGGTGCCTGCTGCCCAGTTCCCGGTGCCCGCTGCCCAGTTCCCGGTACCCGCCCCGGTCTCGACGGAATCCCCCCGCCCTGGTAACCCCCCGGTCCCGGTACCTCCGGCTGCTTGCAGCATTCCCAGCTCCAGCCCCTGGAAGGTTTTACTGGCGAGTTCCTCCAGCGCCCAGAGCGGCGAGGCCGGGGCGCAGCCGCCGCCGCCGCGGGGCCCCGCCGGGGTGGGGGGGGCGGCGGGACCGGTACCAGTCCCGGGGGGGCTCCCGCCGCGGGGACGCCCCAGGATGTCCTCGATGCCGAAAGGGGTCAGCGGTTTGGTGGTGTTGGCGGGGGGTGGGAGCCGGTCCAGGGGGCTTCGCCGATGGCCGCCGACCGCGGCGGGCAGCGGGGGGGAACCGGCCGCCTCCCCCGCCGAGGTCATGCCGGGACCGAGACCCGCGCCGGGACGGGGACCCGCCGCCCCCACCCCCCAGCCCCGCGATCCCCGTTCCACCGCCTTAAAGGCCCGGGATACCGGGAGGAGGAGGAGGAGGAGCCACCGACGCCCCCCCCGTCGACGGGGGGGGACCGATCCCTCTCCGCCACTACCGGGGCTCAGCCCCGCGCCTCCCCCTTGTTGTTTCCCCCATTATAAGCCACTCTGGTGGGTCCCCTCCGTCCCCCTCCCCACTCCGCTCCCTCCTCATCCTCACCGTGGCTCTTACCCTCACCCAAAAATTTATTGGCTCTTTTGCTCTAAAATGCCCCATAAAAGCGCCGGGGCAGCGGCTGGGAGTGATTAAGCCCTTTCGGGTGGGTTTTGGGTTTCAGAGCCATAAATCCCCCCTCCCTCCCCACATTCCCACTGCCCTTTCCCGGTACAAATAGCTCCGGGATTTCGGCCGCTCGTAAAAATCCCGGGATGCCGCACACGCAGGTGAGGCCCGGCTGGTGAAGCCGCGTCCGGATTATCCAGCGGGATTGGGGCTGGGGGATGCCGAATCGTCCCTCTGGGGGGCCGATTCGACACCCCCCAGCCCCAATCCAGCCGGGTGTCCCCATGGATCCGTCGCTGGGATCGGGGACACAGCGAGGTCACGGGGGTCAGGGTGGTAATGAACCTGCGGAGGATGAGGGGGAGCCCGGTGGGAGCACACGGAGCCGGGTTGGGGGAGCAGGTGCAGGGGGATCCGGCAGCGCCGATGCTGGGATTATGGAAGTGGGGAAGGGGCGGGAGGGGGGGGTATGTGTGGATTTTTCCAATCTTGCTGACAAAGGCAGAACGCGATCTCCCGGCTGGAAATCGGAGTTTGACAAATTCAACCTTGAAATTTCCCAGCAGCCGGAGCAATTAAAGGCTGGTGGGGGGGGGTGGGGAGGGAGCTCGGTTTGGGAGAGGGACACGGGGCCCCTTGCACGGCGGCGTGCCCGGCACGGCGGCGTTTGCACGGATTCCTCGCACGCGGCTTTTGTCCTCCCCGCAGGGCGCGGGGAGATGGCGGAGCTGCCGTGGCTGCACGTGCCGCCGGCTCTCGCCGGGGAATGGAGCCCATCCCGGGGTGCAGGAGAGCTGTGACCCCCTCTCCCACCCCACCACGGGAGCTGCCAGTGGTCCTGGGCTCGGCTGGACCCCTACAAGCCCAATTTCTTCTGGCAGCGCTGCTGGAACGAGGCCACTGTGCCGGCCACAAGGCCCCAGGCTCCTGGGGTGCAGGGAATCGGGGTCACAGCCCTTTCTTGGAGTTCCAGCCCCATGGGGAGACCCTGGGCTCCGTCCTGGCTTAACGCTCCAGGACGCACATGAGAAATCGCTGCCCAGGGTGATTCAATGCCCTTGTGCCGATGGGGAATTGCATCTGCCCACCCTCTGAGGAAAGAACCCCCCCCGGAACTCGGAACTCGCCGGCTCGTCTGGGGCCAGCGGGACCTCGGTGGCCAAGTCCTGGGCTGGGAATGTGGGAGTGGTCCCACCGGGCTGTGGCACGGGTATCTGCAGGGAGCCGGCAGATCTCCAGCAGTGGTGCTCTCCCTAATGGGTGGGACGCCATCTCCACCCCATCGTCTCCCCCCACCAGCACCCCTCCATTGCACCCACCCATTGCTCTACAACACCTGGGGCAAATCCCTGCACTCAGGGCTGCTCCCAGATGGTCGTGCTGGCACCCCTTTCCTCCTTGACTCTCCACTTGTGTCACCCGAGGTGCTCCCCGAGGTGCTGCCGGGGTGGGCTGAGCCCCCTGCCCCTTGCCCGAAGACTTCGGCCCCTCTCGGCGGGGGAAGCGCCGGCTCCAGCTGTCGGGAACACAGGATGGGAAACACTTTTCACCCCAAACCAGGCCACAGGGTGGGAACAAAACGAGCCCTCGGGGGTTTTGCAGGAACACAGGAGCTTCCTGCGGAGCCGGGTGAGTGCCCGGCGCTGGCCGGGTGCCTGTGGCCAGAGGGGACGGTGAGGGGTATGTCCACGGAATGGGGCTGGGGGCACCCCAGGGTACTGCACCCCTGTGGCACTGACAGCTCCCGCCCTGGGGTGTCCCTGGAAGACTCTGGGGGTCTGGGACGTAGGGTCCCACCGCCCCCCAGACCCTCACACCCCATACCCAGCTGCTGTGCTGTGTCCTGTGCCCAGCATGGGCAACACCGGGGCGCAAGTGTGTGTATGTGTTCAGGTGTGTGTGTTCACGTGTATGTGTTCATGTGTGCGTTCACATGCATGTGTTCATGTGTGTGTGTGTGCACGTGTGTGTCTGTTCATGCGTGTGTTCATGTGTGTGCACACGTGTGAGGGGGCGTTGCCTGCACAAGGGGGTGATGTACGTGTGAGAGGGTGCTGACCAGGTGTCCAAGCCGTGTTTGGGGCTGCCGTGTCCCCTCACCCAGCTCCCCCCGTGTCAGGGGCTATGGTGTCTCGGAGCACCCCCAGTTCCAGGTACCCAGCTCAGGGGGGCTCCGGGGCTGCCCACCCCCGTGTGCTGCCAGGACTGGGGCATCAGAGTGCCGGGAGCAGGGTGGCAGGGTGCTGGTGCAGTGCTGGGTAACGCGATTAGGGGTGCGGTGCCCCTGTAAGGCGCCTCCCCCGTCCCACACCGCCCTGATCCATTATTTATCGGCTCCATCCCAGTCTCGCGCCGCAGCGGTCCATAACACGATTAGGGCCGCGGCCCCGCGCGGCCCCGGCACATGGAAATCACTGGCAAATGAATTTTCCTTTAATAAGGGAACAGCTCGGTGCGGAATTAAAGCGTCAGGAGCGGCGGCAGCGCCGGGGGGGCACCGGGAGCACCCCCGCGCCAGGGGACGGGACCCCGGCAATTACTGGCAATAAATCCTGACCCCGCGGTGGGCCCGGGGCCGCGGCAGAGCCGAGAATAATGGGATTACACCTGGCCCCGGTGAACGGGGATGGATGTGCCGGGAGACAGGGGAGCCGGGGATCCCCCCCCCGGGGCTGTTGGCAAATCATCGATTCATTAACACGAGTGGCTGGGGGGGCTGAACCCCGGCTGCAGCACTGGGGGACCACAGGGGAGTGGGATGGGATGGAGATGGATGGGAATGGGAATGGAATGGAATGGGAATGGAGTGGGATGGGGATGGAGTGGTAATGAGCCGAGGGGGAATGAGGATGGGGATGAGGATGGGGATGGGGACATGGACAAGACAGCCCAGGGCTGGGGGCACACGGGGCCAGCACATGCCTTGGCCATTCCCACGTGTGTGTCTGTGAGCACAGCCACCCCCAGCAGAGTCTCCTCAGCCGTGTGCAGGCGTGTGCAGGCGTGTGGAGGTGTGCACAGAGGGCTCACGGAGCACAGACATGCTGGCTCACATGCAGAGACACCACACACGTGTACAGGCACACACACGTGGAGCCATGTGTGCCAGTGCCAGGGATCAGCCAGGTTGGGGGCAGGAGCAGTGCACAGCCCCAGGAGGGACACCCAGGATGAAGGTGGATACTGTGGGACCCCTACTCAGTGCCATTCTGGGGTCAAGGGGTCCCACTGGCCCTGGTCCCAGCTGCCACACCCCTCCCCACAGGGGCCCCCTGCCCGCTCCGGGGCCTCCATTTGTGCCTGGGCCAAACTCCAGCCAAATGGGATGGGAGGGGGGGTTGCATTTCAAAGGCTCCAGCTGGAGCAAACGCCGCTGCCCCCCCACCGGGCTGTCACCCGCCCACGCCCCCTGACCCTGCACAGCACGGCTGGGATGGCAGGGACCCCCATGCCCTGCCCCAGGAGAGCAATCTGTGCCAGGACCCCCATGAGGTCGGGGTCCCTCTCGAGTTGATCTGTGGCTGAGGGGGGGCAGGCTGGGGTGCTGGGGTGTGGGACCCCCATCCTGCTGTGGGGCAGAGCTGTGGCGTGGGGCTGCCTGCTGCCCACTGAGTGGGGTTCTCTCTGTGCCAGGGGGGCAGCAGCTGGGATGGGGCAGCTGGAGAGGGTGAGAGGCTCTGGCTGTGGTCTTGAGGGTGCCTGGGGTGGGGCATCCCCAGGCCCTCCTTGGCACCAGGGCCCCTGGGAGACCTGATGTGGGCAGCAGGACGGTGGCGGGTGCCGTGGTGGGGTCGAGGCGGCGGCGGGACCATGAGGATTCAATTAGAGCCGAGTGCGGGGGGCTCGGCTCGGAAATGGCCCGTCTGGGCGCTGACAGCCCAGCCCCCACCCAAGATGAACGACCCCCACATTAAAGCACAGAGGGGTGACAGGGGCACCTGACTAGGGAGGGGGCCAGGGTGGCCGTGAGGGGCTGGGACCCGGCTTTGGTCATGGGTGGGACAGGACCCCAGTCCCAGTGCTGCCACAGGGCCACTGAATGGCTGGGAGAGGGTCTGCAATGGCCCAGGGGTGGGGGGACGTGGCATCAGGGGGTTGCCTACTGTGGGACCGCCCCATCGTGCACCCTCAAACTTGACAAGGGACGTCTGGAGCCATCTGTGCCCACCGGTCCCTTGCTGCCGCACTGGTGGCAGCAGAGTGGGGGTGTCCTGGGGGTCCTACTGTGCTCAGCCATGCACCGGGTTGGGGGACACACACGCCCCCCTCATCCCGCAGGACCCCGAGGGGGCCCGTCCGTCGCTGTGAGCACGGCCCGCGGCTCGGGGATCGATGGCCGCGCGGGTCACCGCTGCCATTAACCCCGGCGAGGCAGCGCCCCGGGGTTAATTAAAAAGCGAAGTGCAACGAAACGCGGCGGCGGCAGCGGGAGGACGTTGACAGCAGCAGGGGGTGACAGTAGCGGGGGGTGGTCGGGGTGGCACTGGTGCCTGCAGGGGGCACAGCGGGGGCTCCAGAGGACACCATCGAGTGCAGATCCTGGCACTGTCATACAGGGCTGACGTACGAGGGCCGGAGGTGCGGGATAGCGGGGGGGCAGGTGGCACTTGGGGTCTCCTCATGTCACATGTGCCGCGTGGCAGAGCCAGGAGAGAGGAAGAAGAGG